TGATAGCAAAGTATGCGGGATATTTGAATAGCAGTAATAGGAAAAGGAAAATTAAAATACATTTTTGCAATTTTTTTATTATTAAATTTTGATATTACGTAAAGTAAAAAAATATTACATATGTAATAACATGATTATTAAATTTTATCTAATAACGGAATGCATAGTTTTACTATTAAAAACAGGTTTTTCTAATTTTCCAGTGTGACAACTTTTTCTTATTTTAAAATTAATGAAACGAATTTTAATTTTGTGAGATAAATTGTGACATGTTTTTAATGCAGTACATTCAATATCTTTCATTTTTTCAATAAGGAAATTAACAATGTTATAATTGCTTTGCTTAATATAACGCAAATAATGTACAATTACATAATTCATTTCTAAGAAATAATTAAACGTCGTATCGTTAACAAAAAATAATGTTTTTACGCGATAACATTTTAATAACAATATTTATTAATAATAATTTAATTATTTTCATCGTTGTTTTTATTATATTTTAACTTCTTTATTTTTCCATCGAAAGATTCCGACATTACTTTTGTATGAGGAAAACTTGTTGGCACTGCTTGTGCTTTTAATTTTTTGGAACCATCCTGTCGCGGTTTTTGCCACATTTCTTTAGTAAAATGAATCTACAAACACAATTAGATGAGAAACATGTTTTGTTTATTATTTGATATAATTACATGCTACCTCACAAATTGCTGAATATTGTTTCGGTTTCCAGTATTCTCTTCCAATTTGTTTCAACCATATAATTTTTTGTTTTTTACTTATTGGAAAATGTTTAATATAGAAGCCATTTTCGCTTCTACTTCTGCATCCCGGTATGCAACAACTAGTCATTTTTAAAATATTTTTATAAATATTTTTATATATAGTCCTCTTATTGTGTTGAAAGTTTTTTCCAAGATGAAATGATGTTATGTTATCACTAGCATGTGCACGCGTAAAAACCGAGATTACAGTAGGTGCAGTACAAGTGTAGTAGCCATTTTGTATCCAACTAAAACATTGGCCAGACCAGAGAGAAGCCTGAGAGCAGGCACGGCTGCATTTACAGCGTTATGGAAAAGTTGGCTGATTCGCAGCGCCAACGCGGGTCCATTTTTCATGGACATGAACTACTAAGCCAATGTCCACGATTTGTTGGTACTATTCCGTGCTATGTCCATAATTATTTGGTTCTGTTCTGTGCTATGTTCATGAGCGAGCTAGATTAGTTAGATAAAAACGAAGAATCGGTCTTTGTCTCACCACCAGCGAATAGACAATCGCGACGAAGCGAGCCAGTACCGCGATTCTGTAACTCGTTATTGGAGTTAACGACACTTTCGTTATCGTTGCGCAGCTTTTGTATACCGTAGAAAAGCTGCGCAACAATAACGAAACTGTCGTTAACTCCAATAACGAATTACAGAATCGCATCACAGCAGTGATGTTATCGTAAGGCAGACGTCGCGGTCTCCCCTTTCACCCCCTTATTTTCCTTTCCACATTGTTTTATATTCATAATTCGGGAAGAAAATAATTTCCAGAGTTCGGACGATTTCTAGCAATGACGCGACAGAGATAATACGCGGCCACATTAATTTGTCATGACTTTTATATTACTTATAATTACATAAACGCCCATATATGCAAATTATAGATAATTATTGCGCGTATGTTTTAATATTGTACAATATGGTATATAATAACAACTTCATTTCTTGCAGTAATTATTTTAAGATCTTCGTTGAGGTCGCGAATTAATTTTTTTCTTCATCAATCAGTTTCCTGCAAAAATTAAGATTTTTTAAATAAAATATAAAATGTTTCTCTTCTCTTATCTCCGAAGAGTTAATTAAAAAATATGTACTCCACAGAGTCAACTAACAAATGTGTAGTCAGAAGAGTCCATTTAAAAGTATACTCCGAAAAGTCAATTTAATAGCGTATTCCGAAGAGTCAATTTTAAAGCGTGCTCTGAAAAATCAAATTAATATTGTAATCCGAAAAGTCAATTTATAATAGAATATTTACTTCAATGATTCAGCTAAAGAAAAAAACATTTATTTATTATTATATTCAGAGAATAATATTTAATTTATTATTTATACTTATCTTACTTATGCTTACCCTACATATGCTTCTTTGAATGAAAAATTTAATTTGTTGACTGATTCAGATTCAGATTTGTTAAAATATCTCTTATGCGCAACTCTTGAACAGGTAGGTAGTAAAATAATTTTTTTTCTTTACGAATTTTATAAACTTTTCACGAACATAAAAATTGAAAGATTCTCAGAGGACAAATAACTTTTCTTGAACATTTAAACCAAAGGAAAATCTTTTCCCATTAATTAAGAATGAATAATCAATATCTCACACGAGAGGAATCTTCATCCTTGAAATAAGCGCGTGATTTTGCTTTTAGAAAAGTATAATATTGATGTAATAGTAACAAATGCTATCCAAAAACGGTGCAAATCTTAAACGTTTTTGAGAAATGTAGTTCGAAGTTTAGTCTTTTCTGTTAATGTCGTTATAGCAGAAGAATTACCAATTTGCTTCAGTAGCGCAATGGATCAGGCTTTGTGATATGAGCGTAGAGGTTGTTCAAGTGTGTTATTTTTAGTATCACAGGGAGAACTATGTAGAATGTATAATAATATGCAGACAAATTCTTTACATAATCATACTTATTTCTTTTAGCATGAATAAAAATGATCAATGCTAACGTGATAAGTGTATATCGCAATTGTACGTGTACGCAATTGTACACATACACACACATATACACACGTATACCAATGATGTCAAAACCGAACAATTCGTGAACATTTTTTATTGATCGCAATTGTACGCAAAGACGAAAGAGAAGTACATACACGCGTCTCCGCGGGTATCTCGTCATATTAATTGTCTGTGAGCTGATAAACAATTGATCTCCGGTATTTACAAGTTACGCTTGTCCGCAGTTTGTTCGGTTTTGACATCATTGGTATCAGTGATGCGAATTTGGTGATGGGCTTGCACGAGGATTCTCCTCCCCCCCATACACGCACATAGTCAGCTCGGTCAATCCGTGTGAGCCACGCGATCGTCAATCGTCGACGCGCCGTGCGAGCGAGAAAGAGAGAGAGAGAGAGAATATCATTCCCTCCTTGTCGCTCTCGAGCCCTCGTTCTCGCTCAGCGAGCGAGCCTAATTCTTTCTTACCCATAATCTGAATCGCGGGCGCGACTGTCTCTCTCTCCTTTCCTCTCTATGACAATACTGAAAAGTTTTGTCTACTCGGCGCACCGAAATTATTACAAATAATATTTTATTATTAATAATATTATTATTTGTAATATATATTATTTGTAATATTATTATTTGTAATTTTATTTGTAATTGTATAATAAGGTTACAAATAATACAAATTTTTACAAATTTTATTTGTAAAAATTTATATCATATCATTTATATCATTCATAATATTATTTGTAATAGTATTAATAATGTTCGGCGCCAAGAAAATGAAATATATTTTATTAAAAATCTTTGCGCGGCTGCACCAAAAACTATCAAACTAAACTATAATATATCGAACTAAAACTTGATTAATACATACATTTTATATTTTATTTAAAAAATCTAATTTTTTGCAGGAAACTGATTGATGAAGAAAATAATTAATTCACGACCTCAACGAAGATCTTAAAAAAATATTGCAAGAAATGAAGTTGTTGTTATTATATGCCATATTGTACAATATTAAAACATACGCGCAATAATTATCTATAATTTGCATATATGGGCGTTTATGTAATTATAAGTAATATAAAAGTCATGACAAATTAATGTGGCCGCGCGTTATCTCTGTCGCGTCATTACTAGAAATCGTCCGAACTCTCGAAATTATTTTCTTCCCGAATTATGAATATAAAACAATGTGGAAAGGAAAATAAGGGGGTGAAAGGGGAGACCGCGATGTCTGCCTTACGATAACATCGCTGCTGGCTCGCTTCGTCGCGATTGTCTATTCGCTGGTGGTGAGACAAAGACCGATTCTTCGTTTTTATCTAACTAATCTAGCTCGCTCGTGAACATAACACAGAACAGAACCAAATAATTATGGACATAGCACGGAATAGTACCAACAAATCGTGGACATTGGCTTAGTAGTTCATGTCCATGAAAAATGGACCCAGTTGGCTCTGCGAATCAGCTAACTTTTCCATAACGCTGTAAATGCAGTCATGCCTGCTCTCAGGCTTCTCTCTGGCCAGACTCTTAAACCAGCGGCACACGGTGTTTGTTTTCGTACTGGATTGCTTGCTGGATGAAAATACTACGTTCTGATTGGTACATTTTCGAAGATGGATGGAAATGCACCAATTAGAACGCAGTATTTTCATCCAGCAAGCAATCCATCACAAAAACAAGCACCGTGTGCCTTTACTGTGGGGCTTTACTGTAGGGACTCTAGGCACGGTTAAAAGCGGCCCATGACACCTCTCCTTCTTCTCTCTGCTTGCGGCGGCTGAGCGACGGCGAACTCACAGACGTCGCGGTAGATGGCGGGAGAGGGTCGACCGCAACACGTCTTCACCAAGTCAATTTTAAATCAAATAAAGCTAAAGCTAAGACTCCATGCATGCGGTGAGCTCCGGCAAACGGCTGCGGTGACCAATCAGGAGACAGACGCATGCCGGAGCTTGCCGCAACCGGACTTGCGCCTCCCTCCTGATTGGTCACCGCAGCATTTGCCGCAGCTCACCGCATGCATGGAGTCTTAGCTTTAGACTTACTTGAGCAAAATTTTCTTCGCGAAAATCGTCTTATTTCATGATTATAAAATCTATTGATCTTAAGATGGCTTAGTTAAATAAGACTGACTTGGTCGTTTTAAGTTGATTTGTTGATTGTTGATTGTTGAGTTGTTGATTTGAAACTCGATTACGAATATCTCTCTATAAATGTATTATGTTTATGTTTACCACTTCCTCATGAAGATGGTTGCTAATACAAAATCAAAACTGAGAAATTCAGACATTGAAAGTTTTAGGCATATTGAAAACATTAAATAATGTTTAGACATTAATTAACAATTATAGTTTAAGATTATATATCGCAATAATGAAGAATATAAAGACACCGAGCATACAAGTTATATCCCACTTGGAACAATTTCACGAAAAATTGTACGAACTGCAAAACAACACAGTGAGTACGATTGTTATATTAAGTATGACTATCATATTGATTGACATTTATGCTTTACGCTTATCCTTTACGCTTAATGAATATACCATATCTATAAAAATTTCTTTATAGAAAAATAGTATAAAAATAAATAAATAAATAAATATCAATGGAACTTGAGTCTAAATTTAGATTCGGAAAATTTGGATGCATGTAAAATAGATAAAGAATATCTAGAGTTACAATATTTAACTGAAATCGAATATCATAGGAAAGATGGGACTAATTTTCTTATCAAAATGAGTATTTATTCCTTTATTTACTTTATATATTGGCTGGTATTATAGTCAGGTTTTATATTTAAGACCGTCTTAAATTCATTTTCAAATACTTCCAAGCCAATGAAATAATTCGTACAGCATCTGAAGATGAACTTATATATATGTATATATATATATATTTATACGCGCCGCTATTTGTGTTTTATCTTGCCGCTTCTACATCTCGCCATACGCCGCCAACGGTTGTTGGATCGACTGGACTGCGTTGTGACCCAAGCGGCTACATTTCTCCAATCATCCATTTTGGCGCGCATTCACTCGTCAGATTTCTGTCATTAATAACTCGATACCTATTGCGAATACCGCAAAACAGACTTTCATGTTTGCCTTAATCCGTTTTGTCTCCACAAGCTCTGTAAAAATTGTTCTGGGACATCTTGTATATATAAGATTGCTTAAATATAAAATCTGACTACCGGCTATTGTCTTCACTTAGATAATGTTATAAATGCATATGTGCATCTAAATTGTATAAAACAAAAGAAGAATATAGAATAATACCAGCCATATGATATTCATTTACAAAACAAAGTATTAAAGTATCAGGGCGGTTAAAGGAAAAATCATTTTGATTTAGGATACCTTACGGATGGTGCAGAAAGAACTTTTAGAAACTCGTCATGCTTTATACAGTATAGAATTGCAGTTGGAAAAGGAGCGTGGAATCTCTTACGAACTAAAAATGCAGCTAAAAGCGGCTATGGACGTAATAAACAAATTAGAACAACAGCAAATAAAAAAACAAACCAAATATATACAGTTAGAAGTCAAATATGATGCTATGTCGAAACAATACAATTCCTTAATAAATCAAGCTACAAGTACGAAAGTACAGGAAACTGAATATAAAATGAAAATTCAAAACTTAGAAAAGATTCTATATAAAAAAGACATGATTAACAAGAGATTGGAACAAATATTAAAAGAGCTTGAACGTAATAATTTACATACTATCAGCGCGATAGATTAGTAAGTTTGATTATACATTTACATTAGAAATTCGAAAGAAAATTTTTTATTGCCATATAATAAAATACAATAATATAAAATATTATGCATTGTTTTAAGTAATATTCAGTTCACATATATTTACATATATTTTTATTTTAACTCTTGACTTACCTTCTAATAACGTATACTTCTAAATAAATTTAGGAAAGATTATGGTACAATATATTTATTAATTTTTCAGCAACATATCAAAACTTACACAGGAACATCAATACCTGACGAAATCTTGCGATGCAGTTATTAGTCTCAATCAACGTTTACAAACTGTGGGTCTGTGTACGTATGTAATACATAAAAAAGATGTGATAAAAGTTAACAATTTGGAACGTATGTTAGTTTCACAGTCACCAATCAGAAATGCAGCTTCTGTAAACATGGATGTTGATATGAAAATAATAAAATCACCAGCCAAGGAGACAGGATAGGACTTCATGAATAAACATATCGACACATGTACATATATACCCTAACAGCACAGATGTCCAGAGGACGTCCAGAGTACATCTTAAGAACGTCCTGGGGATGTTTCTTCATCCTCAGGACGTCCCCAGGAGATCATGTGCTGTCTGGGTATGTATAGGATTAATAAAAGATGTATTATAATTGTCTGTATATTTAAGTATAAGTTAAATAAGTTCAAATGGTAAAAATGCAAATTTTCTGAAGAAAATGTACATTATGACAATCAACGAATAAAATATTTCTGTTTATCATAGGACCTTGTAGACAAAGTTACTCTTACATGCAAAATAATACATTCGAAAAACAAGTTTGGCATACTTATACGCTTATATTCTTTTTTGTTGTAGACCTAATAAAAATTCTATGACTATTTTGTAATATAACAAAATTATCTATATAAATTTCTTGTTCGTCACAAGGCATTTTAATTACACCAGTTAATGCTTAGTATACTTTAAGTTTTCCATCAATTTTGTGAAAAAGCTATTTGCTTAATAACAGTATAAAAACGATCGTGATATCTATAGTGCTTAATATCTTTTTCTCTCATACACACACACACGCGCGTGCGCGCACGCGCGTGTACACACGACGCACGCACGCACACACCATGCCCTACTCACACCTACACTCACATTCCACTCATCCCCACCCACACCCACACGTGTGTTCTTTACTTTAATCATTGTGTGATGTTGCACGGTGATGTATGTTTCTATATATGTATTTCTATAGACATATCCTCCAAATTAAACGAAAACACACAATGGTAAATCACATTAAAACGATACAGAATTTCGTGCACAAAACAATTTATACATTACCCCATTGGCGCTATAGTTTTAAGTAACATGTATTAACTTGTATACTTAATATATCGACTCTTCAATAAAATGAGAAAAATATCAACCATATCTGTTTAATTTTATAAGAATACTAGAGGAGAAGTTCATTAAATTCAATATATTACAACAAAATCTCACCAATCTCATATTCTTTTTTAATGACCCAATAAAATATAACTAAAAGGTATTTACTAAGGATTACCAATCTACTTATCACAAAACTAGTGCATAAATTCATTCAATCATATTGAATTTAATGAGATTGGAGCAAGCAGCAACTTTTCATTATTATATCAACTAAAATGAATGCTAAAACAATGTGCTTCTTATATAAGATTGAGAATTCTAATACTTTCTCCTCTGAGGATTTTTTCGGATGCACTATACGTACATGATGCATTTATGTAAATAATTTCTGAGCCTTTAGTACAGCAAGTACATTTCATTGTCAAGGAGTAAACCTACTAAATCCAATACTTGGGATGTAAAAAATTTCACAGAACACCTGGTTTGTTCGACGAAATGAATATAAGTAAATAATGATAGTAAATAGATACGCCTCGTTGTATAGTTGCATATATTTGGAGGGTCAGAGTATAGTACAACGAGCAAGCCAACTAGGTGGCTTCCTCTGTGGTTCTGAAGCTTTCAACTGATGACCACCTCCTTTTGGTGGATTTGATGCCTCCTGCATAAAATAAAACATTATTAGCATTAAATGACATAATGTAAAAATAAGTATGTTTAATGAATGATATTCATATTAATCTCAACAACTCTTTAATATATTTTGTCCAAGACAAATATATAAATGATAAAAATTTATCAGTAAACTATTAACTAAAATATAGTAAATATTAATAAATGCAAGTATGTGCAACACAAATATATGCATAATATATTAACATGTATTTTGTTAGAAATAATAGTTACAAAAAATGTTGCAAAAACATATATTGTAAAGCTAGATTAAAGCAACATTAATGTAATGCAATGTAACTAAACAATGACACGACTATATTAACAAGTATGTATAACAACTATATATAACATGTATAAGCTGAAATTAATTAGTCTATTCTTTTTTGCTGCATCCTCTATATTATCTTTCACTAGTTCTATTTTTCTCTTTTTTCTATCAAGTTTGACTATATATATTTTTTTAAACATATATTAGTTAAAAAAAAAACAGGCTACATATATAGAAAACAAAGGTTATGGTTATGAGAAATGTATATTGAATTAAAGCATATATTTTTGGTAGGTCCATCTGTACAATATATGCATTATGTTATAGGAAACAAACTGATAGATGAGAAGCACAAAAGATAAATTAGTACTAGTACAACATGCAGTAGTCAGTATATATAATTACAAAATGCTTCACTGTTTGTTACATTGTTATATATTATTATAAGTAGAAACTAATTGAAAACAGAAACAGTTACCTTCTGCCAAGAACCAGCACCAAACACAGAGAAATAGAGACAGGAAACAGAGAAACTTTGGTTATTTCATAGTAAATATGAAAATAACGTACATGTGAAAACTAATGTTCAATTTAATATTCTAATAATATAATTAAACATCTTATAATTCATACCATCCTACTGATTTTAAATCTTTACTATATATTACAATATAAAAGTTAATAATCACAATAGATAATATTATTCATAATTTCATAAACAGATATGTATAATATAATTCATATTTTCTCACCAGTTTCTTTTCCATTTTTGCTTTAATATCACGAGCCAAGGTATAAAAAGCTTCTTCCACATTGATACTAGATTTTGCTGAGGTTTCCATAAATTTAATACCATATTCGACAGCTAATTGCTCACCCCTTTCCTTAGTGACTTGCCTCTTGTCTATAAGCTCACACTTATTACCTAACAACATTTTCTCCACATCTGCAGATGCATTCTCTTCTATATTTCGAATCCAATTCTTAATGTTTTCAAAACTTTTGTCATTTGTGACATCATAAACCAACATGATACCCATTGCTCCACGATAATAAGCTGTGGTTATGGTTCGAAACCTTTCTTGTCCAGCAGTATCCCTACAAATATCAATATAAATACTAATAATACAAAAGTCTAGTCTAACTTTATGATATCAAATTCATGTTAAACATAGTATAAATTAACTTTATAGAACAAAAAGAGTTGGAACTAATACTACACATTTACTATATAATATTTACCATATTTGCAATTTAATTTTTTTGCCATCCAATTCAATAGTACGAATCTTAAAGTCAATGCCTGTAATATAAGACAAATCAGTAAGTCAAGCACCAACATAAATTCTGAGAGATATGAAAAAATAGATACAAGTGAGTGACCGGTATATGATGAGTCATATTACTATACGAGGTACAGCATAATATGCTCTTTGTCTAATATAAAATGACATTTTCAACCTGTACATATAATACACTCATTTAACCGAGACACACCCCGGTCTTCGCAATATATTCCGCGATAACGATGTAGTAACATCGAAAACCACAAGACGATTAATGATATAGGACGGACGGGACCGTGGGTGCACGTACCGATAGTAGAAATGAAGGTCGTGTTGAACGCGTCCTCGGAGAAACGGAACAGAACACAAGTCTTGCCTACGCCGGAGTCGCCGATTAACAGCAATTTGAATAAATAATCGTACGTCTTTGCCATTCTCGAGTTCGGCGTATAACGGCCGCCGTTGACTGATCGAGTGATATTATTTATTGCCTCACCGACACCACTAAGCCGACACCAGCGGATGCTCCTTCGCGTTTGGCCACGGGCTTTACCTACAAAACCAGCTGGCTTTGAATCTGTCTTTATCTGCTTTTCTCTCTCCTGCTCTCACTCCGTATCTCCAATTTCCGTATTCACTCACTCTCTCTCACTTTATTACTCACTCACTCACTCACACTCTCTCTCTCTTTCTCTCTCTCTCTCTCTCTCCCTCTCTCTCTCTCTCCTTCTTTTTCTTGACTTAGCTACCCGAGGAGATATCTAAATGTCTCGTCCGCGAGACATTTGACGTGAAAAGCACATTCTTTTTCTCCAACTTAGCTCTCTCTCTCTCACTCGTTTTCTCACTATGAGCCTTCACGTCTGAGCGCAGTTGCGACGAAGACAAGAACTACGAGTGATACCTCAAAGCTTCAGAGACTCAAGAGTGGAAACGAACTTTGCTTTCGTCTTTGTCGTACGTCCAGAAATTAACAAAACACTCACTGATCATACAAAACATCTATCATAAAAAGCGATGACAGCCATTTGATTGTACTTGACGCACACCGCAATTTCTCCCTCGTGTCGTGGCTATCCTGATTTAAGAGGCTACAGCAGCATCGATATATAGCATATTCAAGTGGTATAGATTTTAACCATATGCTGGATTCATACTGCATCCGACGTACGTCGTACGACGCTCCGCAACCAATCAAAAAGCAGGATTTTACTTCGTATCGTCGGATCGCTTGGCCGTCCGTCATCGTCCGATGTCGGACGAAATGTTGGTCATGATTCAACATTTGTCGTACGATAACGCATGGTATGAAGGGCAATCTGGACAAAATTGGGAAAAGATGGTATACCTTACTCATCTTAATATATTATAAAGTTTATGTCATTAGAGTTGTCAATAGACAGAATAAAGTTTTGTTACTTAGTTTGAGACATTTTAGCACACAAGACATTTTAGCATACAAGACATTTTTTCATGTCAGACTTTTTTCATACAAGACATTTCTTATGGTCGGAAAGTAGGCGATAAAGTAGAGTTAATAATAGTGAAGAAAAATATTACACATATCTTACATATATATATATATTACACATATCTTTTTGCCCGTACATAACTACGCTTATGCGTATTTCTTGCTGTCATGAATCTGTGCCATTGGCTATCACTAGACGATTGCGCATTCGACCTGCGCAGACAAGGAAAGAAAACTTCCCCGATATTTTGCCTCTCTCACCGTTCTGCTAAACCCGCTATGCTCAGTCTATTATATATGTCTATGGAATAAATAAATATCAATTCTAACTTTTTAGGTTATGCGCATATTATTATTAAAGGAACTGTAGTCACCATTAACCATTTACGCCACCTACAGACTTTAAATCATATTAGGGGTGCGTTCGGAAACAGTGTGCTTCGGTTGTTTCAGTGGAACAGTAGTTTGTTAGTAGTGTGCCCTCAACTAGCACGTCACCGAACGCTTCTCACGTATTAGGTATGACGTATAGTTCTGCTTTCAGCCATTACCAAAGAACGACCAGATACTAGGTATATTTACTAAAACGGATATTGTACTTGTAACCGGTGCGATAACTGGTGGATATAATTTATTAAAATTAATTGTTGGAAAAACTCAGAATGAAGAGAGCAGTGAAGAAGAATACGATCGCTGGAATGAAGAGGCAAATATATTTGAAGCACGGATACGTAAACGAGGAGATTTCAGACACGTTACGAGAATTGAAGGTTATATAAATATAACAATACGCGACTATTCAGAAAGACAATTCAGAGAACATTTCCGAATGATTAGAGAAACATACGAAATTTTCGAGCAAATATTGGCACCTGATCTGATTAGAACAGCGGAAAGTGGAAGACATACTTTAGATGTCCGGACACAGTTACTTGCAGTTCTGTGGTTGCTTGCAACTCCTGATTCATTCAGGTAAGTTTATGTCAGATGTTTGTCGAAGATACGTATTTTTAATGTTGTAAAGAGGAAAGAAATTTTATATCTCACGGTTCTTACTTTTCTAGATCTGTGTCTGATCGCTTTGGTATTAACAAATCATTATTGCATGATTCCATGAGAAGAGTTGTGGATGCCTTGAATAATGTAGCTGACAGGTATATTAAATGGCCTGTAGGTGAACGATTGGATGCTGTTAAACATCGATTTTCACGAATTGGCTCTCTTCCTGATGTCATAGGGGCAATTGATGGATGTCACATTCCTATCCCAGCGCCAAAGGTAAGTTAACTTATTTGTAAGAATTTACTTATCTTAATTTACTTAACCTAAGTTATAATTAACTTATAAGAATAACTTATAAGAATTCATGGAAACTAAAAATACTTTTGTTATCAAATTTTGTTATCTTATTTTTATAGGTTCATCCTATTTCCTATAGAACAAGAAAAAAAGAATATGCCATTACACTGCAGGCTGTGTGCAATGCAGACCTAATATTCACAGACTGTTTTGTTGGGTTTGCTGGATCTGCTCATGATGCCAGAATTTTCAGGAACTCTGATCTCTGGCATACAGTAAGAAGAAATGAAAATGATTTTTTTCCTAATAATGAATTCATTATAGCTGATAAAGCTTATCCGGTGTTGCCATGGTGCATAGCTCCACATATCAATAGAGGCAATATGACTGAGGTATAATCAATTGTAGAGTAGTGAACTTTCTATTTAAAGTTTTAATTCAAAATGCAGCAAGAACTTCTTTTATATCTGTGCTGTAAGTTGCTTTAATTAAATATTGTTCCTTTATCTGTGCAGGCACAGAACAATTTTAATCAGCATCTTTCAAAAATGAGGGCGGTTATTGAAAGAGCTTTTGCACTTCTTAAGGGAAGATTCCGACGGCTAAAGTACTTGCATATGAGCTGTGCCGATCTGATACCTTATGTAATTTTGGCATGTTGTGTACTTCACAATATTTGCCTTCAAGGTTGTGAACATGATATAGATGAGTTTATAGAAGAGGGTATGGACCAGGATGCTGGTGGCAACAATAATGCGAATAACTTAAACCCTAATTGGTTACTTAACGACCCAATAGGATTGGCCCGCCGTGAATATCTTACAATTCTTGTGGAACACATTGTATAATGAAATATATTGGTTCTGACGAAATAAAGCATAAAGGCCTATCCAGATAAATCTGTATGGCTGCATGTATAAGACTGTTAACGTGGATACTTTATGTTAGATGTTCATTGGTCAAGATGGTCTTATGTTGTAATATCATATACAGCTATGAAAGTTTGTCTGGATAAAAAAACATAAAACTTAAAACATGGTCTTTTTTATTTAATAAATTTTATACCTGAACACAAATATAGTTAGTATGTATATAGTGTAGTTTAACAAAAAAATTGTTATTCTGATAATACACAGAAGCTTTCTTCAAACAGAACTCAGTCTTACATGATTCAAAAATATTAACAAAAACTTATGTTTCTACATTAAGATACTTTTGAGACATACATACTAACATTTAATAGAATTTAGCAGTAGCATACATTCAGCACTATAAAAAAAGAAACACAAGGACGATTGCACCATAAAATATAGCGAACTTTACATAACAACGGTGGTTCAAATTCTGTTAACATGGTTAAGTTGAATGAGAAAACAGATAAAGGTCCGTACATAACGTCCACTTTTGAAATTCGTATAACTATCAGTGTTTTTATCACAACTGTTATAAATATATTTATTTTAATATTAATAAATGAGTCTTTGCATCACAGCCTCATATGTTATATGTTATTTGAGCATCGATCATATATCACACAATCATTAAAGTATCTATAATTTTACTAAACAAAATTTTAGTAAACAATTTAGTACAATACTTAACTTTTGTACTTTTCGCTGTATTGTATAATACACAATCGACATCTTAATAAAAAAAGTTTAGAATATGAGTATCGACGTTTACTGTAACTTACTACTAACAAAATTGTTATACCCCAAGTAGCACACATCATTTAAGAAACATTTCTGCAAACTTATACAGTTATAAAGCGTTACATACGTTTAGAAAATGTGTAAACCAACATATGTTATTTGGGATCTTACGTTTAGTTAAATCTTAATCATCTTCATGCTTTAACACGTATAGTTAAATCTTAATCATCTTCATGCTTTAACACGTATAACTTTATAAATTATGTAGTAGAACATTAAGGTTTCATAAGGATTAAAAAAAAACATTTTATCTATATGAATAGATCTATTATTTTTCGAATAACTTCCTGAAGTGATGCAATAAGTTAGAGCGAAATTAATAGAGTTGGTTTTACTCAAAACTTATTGTATAATGTAAAATTTATAAAATTATATTGCACAGTTTAGAAAATTCTTTGAAAATACAAACCTTTTACATCTCGTATAAAAACAGTATTTAAAATTGTAAAACAAAGTAAACATTTAAATAAACATTAAAATGTTAACGAGGAAATACAAAAAGACTTACAACTTATCAATAAGTTTCCCCATCATCTCTTTATATGCATCCATTGCTGCCTTCGATTCAGCCATGTTCTCTCTGTGACGTCGCTCCCTCGCCTCTTCTCGAGATTTCGCCTCGGAAGAGCAATGGACCAGTCTTGCAACTCTCTTTGAACTTTTGTTATCTTCCGTTGTCTTTTCTTTGATAAAGGACCTTCTTCACTTTCAGTTGGTGACTCATAATCTTCACTCATCTCCTCGAAATAAGTTGGATCTTTGGCTTTTATATCTGCTTTCTTCCTCTTGATAAGATTCGAGGCAACAGCAATGGGTTTAACACACGGCTGTTCGCCTAAAATTTCTTCCAATTCTTCGTACAATTTACAGGTTTTAGGATCATTCCCAGATTTATTGTTATGGTCTTTCGTTTCCATGTATTTCCTCTTTATGTCCTTCCACTTGTTTTTACATTGGACAGGAGATTTTTTATTCCATTCTGGATTACTATTTTTTAATTCTTTACTAATCATAAGCCATACATCCCGGCTCTTCATATTTTTGAAATGGTTTTGGTGATCTTGCCAAAGATTAATAAGGCATCTCACTTCATTATCGTTCTTCCAGGATGCCGTACTTGAAACTGCAGGTTATATTTTAATATTAGTATTTTTTTGAATATATGACACAATATATTTGGACAAAACCACACGTAACATGTGGGTGATCGGACGCCGTTTTGTACGTAACGACTTTCTTTTCTGGATTTCTAGACAAAGATACAATAAAACCAACAGTATCAGTTGATAGAGTGGAAAATGTCCTTCAAGATCATATATAAATATTAAACAATGTCATAATACACTGATAATTATATGAATTTCAAAAGTGGACAAATTAGACAATACTGATTTGACCACTTTTGAAATTCGTATAACTATCAATGTATATATGACATTGTAAAATGTTTATATATAATCTTGAAGGACATTTTAAGCTGTATCGATAGATGCTATTGATTCTACTGTATTTCTGAAAAATCAGGAAAAAAGTTGTCACATGCAAAACAGTTAAATCGCCATAGATAAACTTTTACCTGTTGTCTCACCCAATTCAACCATGTCAGCAGAATTTGGACCACCGTTGTCATGTATAGGTGATTCCTCAGTAAGCCGCAAATTGAAGAATTTTGCTGTCTCCTCACATATAGGCACGACGATAATATTGTCACCTATAAGATGAAACTATGAATATATTTCTACTGATAATACATAATGCTATATAATTGTTATAAAAAAGTCCAAATCTATATAAATATAACATTCTCAATCTGTATTGATACAAAATATGCAAGAGATACAAACTTTACAATTTCTGTTTATATTATTTGAATGTCAATATAATAACTTACTTTGTACATCCTGCACAAGCAATCCTTTAGAATTAAACACGGGTAGATCCCCAATCATTACAGCACGATGCCGTCCTTCTACTAATGTAATATTATTATGCATTATTATATTTTTTTATTATTAATGCCAAATGTTAATAGGTTATATCTAGATTAATAGGTTACATCGACGATATACTATACATCTAGTGAAATAACACGCGCCAAAACTAGATTCTCTCGCTAGTCCCACCGACTCCACGTCCTTTTTCGTCGGGTGGATTGGTGGCTAGGGATGTCACTCCACTAGTGTTTCCGAACGACTTCACACGAGTGCACACTGAGTGTTTCCGAACGGCTGGTGTGCACTCGTGTGCACACGAGTGTGTTTCCGAACGCACCCTAGTTAACATATGCAGTATGAACAGCATTTCGCACGGCTTCGTACCGTCGGATAACAGACGACGCACGTTGGATGCAGTGTGAATCCAGCAATTACACAGTATGAGCCATGGAGGTAAGAATATCTGGAGGGAGCATAAAGTATTTTTGAGGGCGAGGGAAATGAAGCCTGAGAGGTGAGAGGAAATATCCGTAGCGGCCATCTTGATGGTTCAAAAATAACATATATATAAGATACGATATATGTAACTCAAATCTATTTTCACGTCATACGGTGTAATTATAACCAAAGAATTTTGAGGTTGTGTGTGTTGCACGTATTTGTAATAAAAGTGCTTGCAATAAAGTTGTTTATATCTGTAATAAAGTGCTTTGCAATAATAAATTCACATAATAATTCATGCAATATGCTTGATTGTTATGCAAAAGACTGCAAGAGCAGAAGACATGTAACACGAAAAAATAAAACACAATTGAGATGGGAATATTCACGTGGCAAACTAATTACATTTCACAGGTATGTTTTAATACTATTGATTATTCAAAGTAAAATTATATTTTATATCATTGTTGACATTTTTTAAAGTAATTTGATAATTACAAAATTCCAAAGAAACCACAAGTACGTGTGGCTTGATAGAATGGACTTAAATGACAGTAATGTTCCAGAAAATGCATTTATTTGCTCATTACATTTTGAAGAAAGTGATATGGACAAAACATCGCTTAGTTGTATTAGAATTAGATCTGGTGCTGTCCCGTTTGTATGTATAGACATAGAATTATCAGTTTCAAGTATTTTATATTTTGTAAGACAATATGTATTAACAAAATATATATTACAGAATAATATGAATATGAGAAATGACGAGTCTCTTGTGAAAAAAAATATTGGACGAGCATAATTATAATTTAATGAAAGAGCAACAGAATCTTGATCCTGTAAAAATATAAAAAATACATCACAATGCAGAAAAAAGTATGTTAAAACATAATTATCTTATTATAAAAAATATACTATTTAGTGATCATCTTATTGTAACTGTTTAGTGATGTGGAGTTATGAATAATCTTATTAATAATTTCTTATAAAATATAATGAAATATAATGATTCTTTTAATGACAATTATATAGATTATATAGATGATCCTGAAACATGCAGAATCAAAGAAGCAGAAAATCTTGATTCCATGGAAATATATGACAACATTGAACAAGGTATATTTATCAATTGCAATAGATAAAACAAATCATTTTGTAGAAACACTGTTAAGTGATAGCGGACTATTACAAAAATTTTATATTAATAATAAATTGGCCAGTGATTTTTAATAGTTTTGTTACTAGTTACTATAGATTGAATAATAGAATGAAAATTTAGCATTTCTACTCAAAATATGTAGTTACTTTTTTTTTCCTAATAAAAGAATGTTTATGAAAATTTTTTTCGTTTAGTTATATTTTTTTCATCAACGTTGTATTTGATACAGTTTCCCAGACGAGTACACCACATACTTAAAGAGTTAAAAATCAAGGAATAATTGTTTCGCCATATCTATCAGAAAATACGCCACGGAAACAATCGTTGAGAACTGCGTTGATATATATGAGAAAAGAATTTCAGAAAAAAATTAAAATGTTACAACAAAAGCAACGACGAACTATTAAGTGTGTTATAAAATTGAAAGATGTATTGACATGTTTGAAAAAAAAAATCTTAATGCAGAACAACTGGATGTCTTTAACAGATTTAGGTAATTTCAACAAACAATTATTAAAACGTCAAATTAATAAGATTAATAAAACTCCAACGCTTAAAAAGTATAGGCCAGAATTAAGATCGTTTGCTTTAACGTTGCACTTTTATTCGTCACGAGCGTATGCATTTGTTCGAAAAAAATTTGATACTTGTTTGCCCCATCCAAAAACAATAAGTAAATGGTACAAGTCGGTTCACGGTGAACCTGCTTTTAACGAGGAAGCATTGAAGTCAATTAAGAAACGTGCTAATTTAGTAAATTATCCTCTTTTTGGCGCTCTTATATTCGATGAAATGGCTGTAAGACAACATATAGAATATGATGGTGAGAAACATTGTGGATATATAGACTTGGAGCCTAATATTGATTGTGAATACGGTATAATAGCAAAAGAAGCACTAGTGTTTCTTGTAAATTGTATTAATGGATCCTGGAAAATTCCCATTGGATATTTCTTTATTCCTGGTCTGAATGCAGAGCAAAAGTTCAATATGGTTCGTCAGGCATTAATACTATTGCATAAGCATGAAATAAATATAGTATCTGTAACTTTTGACGGGGCTCCAGCTAATTTAACCATGTGCACACTTTTAGGATGTAATTTTAACTTTATATCTTTTCAGGCTTATTTCTCTCATCCGATAACGGACTGAAAAGTTACTGTATTTCTCGACCCATGCCATTGTGTGAAACTGTTACGTAATTGTATTGGAGAACATAAATCAATAATTGATGACAATGGTGATATGATCCAATGGGAACATTTTACGAAGTTTAATGACATTCAAGTTAAGGAAAGTCTACACTTGGGTAATAAATTAAGAACGCGTCATATACAATACCATAAACAAAAAATGAAAGTAAAACTCGCAGTCTAAATCTTCAGTAATTCTGTAGCTGATGCATTAGAAATTTGTAAAAATGATTTATGATATCCAGAATTTGCAAATTCGGTCCCAACGATAAGATTCATACGAATAATAAATAATTTTTTTGATATCTTAAATTCGAGGAACATGAAACAGATAGGGTTCAAACAACCGTTAAATAAAAACAATAGTTCTATAATTGTGGAAAAATTAAAAGAAGACTATAATTTCCTATCACAATTGCGAAAGACAGATGGTCAATTGTTGATTTATTCTAAAAATAAATGTGCATTCCTCGGTTTTATGATATGTATCAAAAGTATAACAATACTTTATAAAGATTTAGTTGTTAGTCAAGACGTATTAAAATATATACCAGGTTATAAATTTAACTAAGATCACGTTGAATTGTTATTCAGCTCTATACGAGCTCATGGAGGTCCTAACAATAACCCGACGGCTTGGCAATTTAAAGCCGCTTATAAAAACAAATTCTTGTCCATACAGAGATCACAGAGACAGCAACTGGTAATTGCATCCCGCTAGAAATAATTTCAATACTACATGTTTCTGCGAATTCTGTAACTATAATAAATCAGTCAACTCCGAAATCTCGAGTAATAGATGATAGCAATCATGAAGATAGCAACGAAAATTTACCTCTTTTGCTACAATAACGCTTTCAGAATTTGCAACGAGAGTTATAGCTTATATTGCAGGTTTTGTTGTAAGACATTTAGAAAAAATTCTACATTGTGAAACTTGTATCGAAGCTCTTACTGGCAAACGAAACACATATCGAATGTTCTTTAATTAATATTAAAAATCGTGGGGGCTTAAGATTGCCTTCACACGATGTAATTGTAATTTGTACTAAAGCTGAAATTGCAATTCGTTTAGCTTTGCGTGAAAGTGACGATAAATGTTTATCAAAAAAATTTACAGAAATTTATCTCTTGAATCAGGTTTTGCAACGTCTCATTGAAAATAGAAATATTTTCTCAAATATAGAAGAACATTCTCGTGATCAAACAATTTTATAAAATCATGTGTTTCATATAATGAGAGCAATCGCCTCTAAATATATTAAAATAAAATTACATTTTATAGGGCGTAATATATTTCGTGATAACATAAGTATAAGGCAAGCATTTAACAAAATAGTTTTGTTTAAGGGACAATAATTCTAGTAAACAATAACTAACAGTAACATTACACTCATGTTCTAATTTCTAATTATACAATATCATAATGTGCATCCTACGTAACGCTGATAGATGCGTTCGGAGAGACTATAAGCAGCTTACGCTTTCGAGCTGCTCGAACGTTACTTGAGTGAATTTATCGTTACAATATGGCTGATGTTGGTGCAAATATGGATAACCAAAAAAGAAAAAGATTATTAAGTTTTTTACTCTTTGCTCTGAGTGAATTAATAGAGTCTTCATCATCTGATGACGAAGAAGAGTTGGATGTACTCATTAATTTAAAAGTAGGACGTCGGAAGAAACTGCCAAGACTACAAAATTATGTGGAAGAGGTGATACCTAGGTGGAAAGATCAAGAATTTAAGTCGCATTTTAGGTAATGATAAATTATCTTTAATTAATTTTCAAAGTTCTATACATACATCATAGAATGGTGAACATATTTCACATTATGTATTTATTTATGGTAGCTCAGTAAATACTGCAGCAAAGTAAATGCAATATGTATTTTATTACATTTACATTGTTACGTGAGAAATTATAACATAAATGTAATGTAATGTAATGTAATTTTTCAATAATGTTATTTGAAATTTCAACAAAAAGTGTTTAGTATAGTGATATTCGGTATTTATTAGAAAGAAATTAGCTAAATTTTTCTATTAGCATATTCGACTGGACTTGGGTTCGCTTGGGTTAACCCATGCTGGGTTAAATAAACCCAGCTTATTGGTCGAACATGTACTATATAGTATAGTATAGTATACGTTCGACTAATAAGGCCCAGTTCCACAACTTGCTTTAAATGGAGTTTAAAGCTAAACCGATGGTTAAAAGCAGTAGTATATACTTTATGGTTAAAATTGCTTTTAACCATCGGTTTAACTTTAAACTCCGTTTAAAGCAAATTGTGGAACTGGGCCTAAGTTGAGTTTATGTAACCCAGCATGGTTTAACCCAGGTCCAGTCGAATACGCTGTATGTCTGTACTAATTTTAGTTCTACACACTTCTTATCTAGAATATCCAGAGACACTTTTGAGTTTGTACTCTTGATAATTGCCCCAAAACTTAAGAGAAAGTATCCAGGGTTAGGAATGATCTCCCCAGAGAAACAGTTTTTTATTGCTATTTGGCGAATGGCTACACCAGATTCTTACAGGTTAGTACATTATATCTAATAATAAGACCTACTCAAGGTAATGTTGCATTTTTCATTCATAAGTTTTTTAATCCTAGATCAATATGTGAAAAGTTTGATGTGAGTCGATCAACAGCCTTATTAACAACACGTCGAGTTACCAAGATACTTGCAGATTTTTCACCAGTATTAATTAAATAGCCAACAGGCAACGCTATCCAAGAAGTTTGGACAGGATTTGAAGTAATTAGTTCCTTCCCTAAAGTCATAGGAGCTATCGATGGTACTCACATCAATATCCCATCTCCACATATACATCCAGAAGCCTATGTTAATCGGAAAGGTCACCATTCCATTCAGCTACAAGTTTGTAATATGTACTTAGTATATTAGATGGAAGAATTTATCCTCCTCACTATATTGTATATATTGAATATATCGTACTTAATATTCTTCCAGGGGATCTGTGATCACAAAGCTCGTTTCACGCACTGCTATATTGGACATGCAGGTTCTGTGCATGATCAACGCGTTTTTCGTCAATCAGAAATTCAAGATGCATTGGGTAACCCAGAAAAATTTCCTGATGATTCCCATTTACTTGATGATGCTGCATATAAAATTCATGATAATTTAATGGTTCCATATCGTGATAATGGTCATTTGACTGAACGACAAAAAAATTATAATTTCTGCCATTCTTCAGCACGAATCGCCGTTAAAAGAGCATTTGGTACCTTGAAAGGTCGATTTAGAAGTTTATTACACAACCATGAATCGGACTGACTTAGGCCGGTATTCATAGTCAGGTCTTATATTTAAGACCGTCTTAAGTTCATTTTCAGATACCCCATAGCCAATGAAATGATTTGTATAGCATCTGAAAATAAACTTAAGACGGTCTTAAATTTAAGATCCGATTATGAATACCGGCCTTAATTGCTCATTATATATTTGCTTGTTGTGTCATGCATAATATTTGTATACTAAGAAATGATGATTTTGACATTGTTTTATTAAATAATGAAGTAGATAATGATATTCCTCGTCAAGTTGCTGCAGATGATACAACAGGTGTTCTGAAAAGAGACTTAATTAGCCAAAGACTTCCAATAAGACTCATATAAATCTTAAAACAGTTCTAATTTTGCTAGGAATGCAATGTATTTTTTATTTTAAAGAAGTTTACAAGTTATTATCTTTTATACTTTTGTAACATAGATATAAACTAATATGTACATGTTTAATAAAATTAAGATAGTATAACATATAAAAGAATTCTTTATTTATTTTTACAATAGTATTATATTTAAAAATTGCCATTTCCGTGTTACTTCTAAAATAATAAGTACCTCTTCGTTATTAATTCATTTAGGACAAAAAGTAAAAGAATAAAATGAAAGATACATTTTGTTATTGATATTAGTTTTATAATAGTTTATAATTAATTTTTAACACATACAATTACTCCCCTTGACAGAATAAACATAAAATACTTTGTATTGTCTTGAAGTACAATAAAAATAAAAGCAAGTTATATATATGTAATATTGTTGGTTACACATAAAGAACTAATATCACCAACCCTGCTTAACCTAATCGGTCGACCAAGCATTAATATTAATTAACCATTCCCTTCGACAAAATAAAAATGAAATACTTTGTATTGTCTTGAGGTACAATAAAAATAAAAACAAGTTACATATATGTAACACTGTATAAGTAATACTAAGTATAATGTAATACTTAGTTATACATAAAGAACTAATATCACTAACTCTGGTTAACTTTTTCGATCGACCAAGCAGCAAAATTAATGAACCAATTTATTTTTCTGATCAATATAATTGATTAATTTTGTTATAATAGACTAATTAAATTAACTGAATGTAGTAATTCTGTTCCACATAACTTTCATCAGAAATATTTACCAAACATTTTAATTGTTCCAACATAGAAAGAAAAATCTTATTTTATATATCAGTGTTCTTAACATTAAGTATCACTTATGCATTTAACCATTATTCAATTTATCATAGATGTACACAGGAAGTTATTAATCTCTTGCTATTATAACTGTTATTTGTACGATTTTCACAACTTTATGCGTTGCGTCTATGATCATGTTTACGTAATAACTTTATCTAACTAATTAACTATATTATAAAAATATGTATGTATAGGCATAAAGTTGAAAATCGTCAAAATAATTCAAATTACAATGGGAAGACATTAGTGAATACTTATGTGTATAAACTTAATATTAATTATTAATATTAAAAAATAAAGCAAATTTTAAGAATATGTTTAAAATATTAAGGAAGACAGAACGCAGTATAATAGATGTACCAGCTACTATACTATATTTTACAAAACTAAATAAAATATTAATTGTACTAAAAGAAGTAAACAAGAAAATAAATGGTACATGTTTTATCAAAAACAAAGGAAACAATCTTATAATTTGTATTACAACTTCGTTTTATCTTTGTTGCATGTAAATTAAAATAAAAACATTTATAATTTGTCTAAAATTTTACCCATGAATTTTAGCATTTGCTTTTCAAAGTCCATGTTTTCTTTGTGCCTCTGATCACTATTGTTCTCAGCCAATTTCCGACTTTGTAAAATTGATTCAGCAATGTTTGATGTACTTTCTTGTGCCTTGCGCTTCCGACAATTTGAATAGCTTAAATTTTTATTACTTGAGTTTGCATTGTTACATATATTTGCATTTGATAAGTTAGATTCTCTATTAGATCTAGAATTAGAATACATGCTGCTTGAAGAGGCTATTGCTAGAGACGACATAATAGGTCGTTCACCAAGCAAAGATTCCATGACTTCCATATAAGGCCATGTTCTAAGTTATTCCCTGATTTGCTATTGTGATCTTTTATAGATTTATAAGTTCGTTTCATTCCGTGAAATTTTGAAAGACATTGAGGTTCAGTGACATTATAGCCTTTAACAAATAATGCTGATGCAATATTATTCCATACTTTTTTCTGGGACATTTTACTCGATACAATGTTATTTTTTTGCAGCCGATACTTTTCTACCAGCAATAGAATTGCCGCATGAGACCATTTAAACATTGATTCATTATTATCCTCAGAATTGGAAGACTCCATTGACAGACTTGCTGCATCAAAATCTGAATCTTGTGATTTTGCTCTTTCTAGAAGATAAGTAGTAAATATCGTATTTAAAAGAATAACGAATAATATCTATATATTAAAGGAGACATAAATCAATCACACTCTTTTATTATAATCTAATTTATTAATTTCCATTATATCAACTGATCTATCTTCTATACTTGGATAATTATTAGCATATAGAATACTTATATAACCTCTATCATCATAATTACCATTTTCTGCACGCGCTGCATCATTTGGCGATACTTTTATTGTGTATGTCACATCGTTTTCATCTAAAAGATGAATTTCGACATTTTCAGATATTTAACTAAGTGGTTGAGCCATTGTGAATACAGTTTCTCACAGTTTAATAAATTGTCCTTATTTGACTTTTGACGCAATTGGTTTGTTCTTTCTGGTTGCACTGTTGTAATTGGTTGAAAGAACAGCAGTTAAAAAGAACAGATCATAGACTAACACTTTAAAGCACAATCGAACGTTCGAGGAAAGAATAAGCGCCAATTAGCGCTAATAGCATTTGCTGCCCTACCTCGAAAATGATAGCGAAAAATTGCGCGAATAATGACGTCACGCTGCTTTGAGAGTGATGTCATTATCGATTTTATAGCGCCACAAAGCGTCTCCTCGAACGGTCTTAGATACTTATTGTGCGAATAGCGTGCTCCCCGAACGCACCCCTAGAGGTACGTTCCGTATCACGCATTGCGCGCATTTATCTATAGTTTATGTCACGTATACTATAAAAAATGCGCGCATATGTGTGAAATGGAACGCACCCTAGATTGCGTGTTCTCCCAAATTTCAAGAGTGGGGGTATAACTCTTGTATAAAAGGAAGCATTCTGTTTTTACCATAGACATAGTATATCATAGTATATCTAGACTGCGCGTTCTCCCAAATTTCAAGAGTGAGGGTACAACCACAGACTTCTATATACTACTAGACTACTAATTCCTCGGTCAGAAGTGAAGCCAATTTTGGCGGCCATTGTTATCTGGCAATTTATATACCCTGTGCTCCGATAGTGAAGTAGTACGAATTAATTGGGTGCTTTTAATATATCTATTTAATAAAATTGTGGATAAAGTACAGAGAGTGTAATGGTAATATAATATATATATACATAATATTAGTCATATGTGTCAAAATATTATATTTGTATAATATTATAATAGTAACCTAAAATAAAATACAAATTCGTATAATGCTTTGTATGGTTAATGTTTATTATGTAAAAAACAATGAATACAATATACCCTATAATAACATATTACATTCCCTTAATATATATTCTATTCTATAATACATTCAATTTGCAAATAAATAAAATATTTATTATTCATTTGCGAAAAGAATTTATTTAGTTAAACGATGTCGTTTACGAATAGGCATTATAATTTCATTAGTATAAAACTTTCCAAACGAGAATAGCCGAATTCGTAAATATGTTCGTACAATCGCAAATATTAATTTAATTTTATGTGGCACTTCAAATATTTGGACATTATTATATGTAAGATCATTGAATGTCAACCCAGATAGCACACGGACGTCCACTGGACGTCCGATATATGTCCATTTTTTTTACAAAAGACGTCCATAGGACGTATGTTTGTCACAACTTCGGACGTCCTACAGGTCCGATGTCCAAATAAGGACATCCTTCCCAGCAAACACAGAATATAACTGTTATATAACTATTATATAACATAGGAGTAACATGTAATATAACATATGTTATACTCTAGTTATATTGAGGTTATATAATTTGGTTTCATAGTTGTAATATAATTCTATTATAAATCTGTTACACTGTTTTGTTATAAACTAGAGATAACATTATAATAATAATATAACAGTAATGTAACACGTTATATAACAATAATTACGTTCATATTACATTGATGTTATACAACACAACTATTCATGCAGTCTATTAAAAGCTGCAAATGCTTTCTATTGCGAATAAAGGTGCATTTCGATAGAGAAAGAAATAGCAAAGCGGAACAGTAACAAATAAAAAAATCGTGGAAAGCTAATCAATCAGAAATTCCGTTCCGCTTTTTTGTAGATGTTTTATTTTGTAGTTCTATGTTTTTATGTATTTTTATTGCCTTCATCGCGCTTAAGCAGACCATATTGCCTATATATATTGACGTTTATATGCATACTGATATGTATATTCCCACAAAAAAGTACATCGAATCCACGTAGAACGTATTCGTTGCATTCACATAGAATCCACAAAACCACATGGATTTCACGTGGACACAACGTTCTTATTTTCGTGGAGATATCCGCACTCATACTATTTAAACGTTTAAGAACGCTTGTATATCATATAAAACTCACATAGAGAAAAATGTCTTTAAGTTTAATATTCTTACTTGTTCGATTTTGAGTTGTTTCATTAAAATATATTTTTGCAATATTATTAGAAAAAAAAACTATTTCATTGAAGAAAACCATGTTGATAAAAAACAGGATTTGAGATAATATTTTTCAAAAGTTTTTTTTAGATTTAGTAATTAAAATTTCTTATTTAAACTTCCTTAAATTTGTTTCAAACTATTTCTTTTGTGGGTTAACCATTATAATACTCCAATATTAGTAATTTTGAAACATAGTCTATATTGATATTCGTCGCATATCGAATGTTGTTGCGTTGTTTTAATTTCTGACATGAAAAGTCATAATGTTCTGTGAATATTCTGTGAATAAGGATATATTATATAAATACCGGTCACAAGAATATCGTTGGAGTCATTGCGATAATTGCGTGCCACTCGGTCGTCAGGTTAAACAAAGCCTTAGCGTGGTCAGCACATGGAGGGGTGACCGCTTAGAATCAAAGATATCGACGGGACGCAAGACGCGAGAAAATTAGAGATAAATTTTTTACATAACAATAATATTACAGTTATATAACAGCTGTATAACATTTTAGTAACATATGATATTTCTGTTATATAACTGCAACTTTCTATGAGTGGGAAATTACAACTAACATGTATATTGCTTGTAACGTACATGTCATATTATGTGTTACATTTCGTTACATTACGACAATGTAACTGTTACATAACTGTGTTTACTGGATTGTTACGTATGTAATTTATGTTCACGGACGTAAATCGGACATACGGACATAAATTGGACGTGAAACATACATCCATTGGATGTCCGGTGCTATCTGGGAATGTGTCAAGAGTAAATCGCCTTTTCATGTGTAAGATAATCTTTGTATCTAATTTGTGCACTTGTAATGTCTGGAAAATATTTGTTTCCAGTTGCAGTCGCTTTCCTGTTTCGGTAATAATTTTATATGTGCTTACAGAGGGAAATATTAATCCACCCTTGTCACAAGTTTGCAAATGTAACATATTTCAATGATTGAAAATAATCATGTTCGATGCGTTCTAGAATAAGACATGTTACGCAACTCTCACAATTGATATGCCGCATTAACCGTTTTACAACGTAGCCACCAATATAATATTTTGTCTTTCAAATCTGTGTGAAGTTGAATTGAAATATTGTTATTAAGTTTGTGGATTTCTTTTGTGGATTTATAGACGGATGTATCCCATACAGCACAAAAAGATTGCAGCAACATTGCAGCAATCTTGTTTTGTAAGATTGTATCATTGCAACATCATTGCAAAATGTTGCTGCAATGGTGCAGCAATATTGCAGCAACATTAAAATGTCCGCTTGCAGTAATATTGCGTTGCAATGATGCAGCAATATTGTATTATAATAGCGCAGCAATATTGTACTGCAATACTGCAGCAATATTATACTGCAATAATACAGCAACATTCTGTTGTAATATTGCAATAACAATGTTATATAATATGCAATAAAGTTACAGCTATTATGCCTATATATATACATATGTGTGTGTATGTGTGTGTATAGAGTGGCGTAATAGCTGTAATATACAAAATTAAATAATATTATATTATATAGCTCTAACTATAGCTTTAATATATGCAACTAAACCATTCTAAAACACATGTATTCAACATTTTGTAATTATACAATTCCATATAACATAATTATGTGTTAATCTTTTTTCCACAGATACCAGCAGATAGCAAAATTGTCAGTGTAACATTCCCAGTAAGCAAAATGCTAACAGAATGCGCGCAGATTGACGCCAATTTCGATCAGATCTCCAGATCAAAACCATAACCATCTGTGTCCTTATTAGGCTCGTGTTTTGTCGACAGGACCTGTATGACAGGCCGTGCGAGCAGATTGTCGGCAGAAATCGCGCAGGTCCTGCTGCCAAACTATACGTAGAGTCTGCGCGTAGAGTTTGCTCAGTTTTTGCCGCCAATCTGCCGTCAAATTACTGCAAGTCTTGCGCGATTTTTACTACAAATCTGCCGTCAAATATCTGACAACAGGATTTGGCGCATATTTGACCGCAGATTGGCGGCATAATTTGACATAACAGATTCTGCGTTAAATTTGTTGCCTATTTGCCATCAAACTATGATAGCAGGCTTTGTTCGAAATCTGCTCGCGCAGGTTTGGCTATCTGGGATTATTGCGATATTAAAAGTCCGCTTTTTATTACATCTAAAACGAAATATAACAATTACGTTAATGTTATATTTTGTTATAAAAATGTAATAAAAAGCGGATATTTGAATATTGTCATAATATACTGAAGTATTTTTGTTATTTGATATCCACAAGATATCTGTAGAGATTAGCAAACAGCTGTATTACGTAGGATATCATAATTGCAAGTTATTAGTTAGACTCACATATTATAGTATAGATATTGTGTTAAACAGCAATCGCAGTAGTATTGTAACTATTAATAAGTCAAAATTATAACACATATATATATATATATATTTATTTATAAAAGTATGTTACAACAATTAATATTAAATAAAAATTTGCTTCTTTAGTTAATATACTAAATGATGCACATACATAATGGTGTTCGTAACAAAATATAAACTATGTATATAAAACATAAATAAAGTGTTTTATCTACTTTGGTAGTAAAAAATAAACGAAAAACATCAAAGAACTATCAAAAATTATGAACACATATATATAAAAGGAACACATAAATGAAAAATATTATATTAATACTATTAATAAAACTATTAATAAAAATACTATATTAAATGATAATATCATTGTTAATCATGAGCCACCGTTTCTCCAATTTTTTGCCTTGAAATCCGTACAGCTTGTGCAAGCCATTTCGATATATATTCCGCAAAGTCGTCTGTCATTGCGCTGTGGGATATACGAACAGCTTCTGAAATATATATCATTACCATATTATTATTATTTTTATAAAATTTTAAATAATAATTAAATAGCAACTTGAATCTAAATAATACCGTTATTTGCAATATTGATCAAAATCATCTTGCTTTACGGAGTAGAATAACAGTTTTTTCTTTAAAATTCGTTCATTTTGTGTAAAAGTGAATCGAAATAGCTTAGTCCAATCAATTTTCAAAGTGAAATCCGGAAAACCAAATAAATACCCAAGAGATATACAGGGTGTTATAAAAGTCCCGGAAGAGCAGAATAACTCGAAAAATATGAGTCCTAGAAAAAATGCGAAGTGGGTTTTTATTATTTTTTCCTGGCTATCTGACGGTGACCTTGGATTTGACCTTGACAATGACCTTGAAGGTCATTTCAAGGTCAGGTCAATTTTTTTAAATAGGACCCGATACTTTTGATCCCAAAAATTAAAAGAGCGGAAAATTTTACGTTCGGATATGATCTTTAACACTGCCAAATTTGACCTCTGAAGATCACATAAAGGTCTAAGCTTGTTTTAGGCTGAAAACGCGAATATCTTCGAAAATGCACCTGCTAGGGAGCAATGTTACACATAAGAATAAGAATGTAGTGGTCAACGAGGGACATTCAGCCGTGACTTTGCCCTTATTCTCAAGGTCATGAGTTAAGATTATTATTAAGGTCAAACCGGACTTTTTTAGGATTGAAAATCCATACTTTTGACCTAAAAGTGTCAAGATTGAAAAATTTTACGTTCGGATATGACGTTTTCAACCTTGACCTTGTTCTCAAAATTATGCGTTTTACGTTACTTCACTGATCGTGAAGTCTACTGAAAGTAAAGCGTCTCGGAACCCGACCACTGAAGGCAAGGTGTCTCAAACCCGACCACTGAAGGCAAGGTTCAGTTAGTCCCGGCTACCGAAGGCAAAGCATCTTGTAACTCGGCCTGAGATTATAAGAGATGTTCAAAATGTTCCCCATTGACCGTTCGACAGTGTGTTTGACAGGTCAAGGTTGAAAACGTCATACCCGAATGTAAAATTTTTCAATCTTGACACTTTTAGGTCAAAAGTATGGATTTTCAGTTCTAAAAAAGTCCGGTTTGACCTTAATAATAATCTTAACTCATGACCTTGAGAATAAGGGCAAAGTCACGGCTGAATGTCCCTCGTTGACCACTACATTCTTATTCTTATGTGTAACATTGCTCCCTAGCAGGTGCATTTTCGAAGATATTCGCGTTTTCAGCCTAAAACAAGCTTAGACCTTTATGTGATCTTCAGAGGTCAAATTTGGCAGTGTTAAAGATCATATCCGAACGTAAAATTTTCCGCTCTTTTAATTTTTGAGGTCAAAAGTATGGGGTCCCATTTTAAAAAATTGGCCTGACCTTGAAATGACCTTCAAGGTCATTGTCAAGGTCAAATCCAAGGTCACCGTCAAATAGCCAGGAAAAAATTATAAAAACTCAGTACTTCGCATTTTTTCTAGGAATCATATTTTTCGAGTTATTCTGCTCTTCCGGGACTTTTATAACACCCTGTATATAATGAAAATTTTGGTCAAACCGATTAAAAAAGATACGTAAAAATGGATCTTTTGAATTTATTATACCTGACCAATTTTGATTACGTCAAGTCAACTAAAAGTCGACTTTTAATGAAGTAACATTGACTAAAAGTTGATTTATAAGTGCCGTATTGTTGACTTAAAGCTGACTTCAAATTACCATAAAGCCAACTTCTAAGTCGACTTTTGGCTGACTAACGGTCGACTATAGTCAGTACATTTGCCTGTTAGTCGAATATTAGTCGGCATTCAGTCTAACTTTGAAGTCGACTTTAGACTTCTTCTGCCGACTTATAGTCAACTAAGGGCGGAATTTATATTAATAAGGACGTATCTTGAGTTTCAAGACGAGCTTAAGCTAGTTCTCAAGACAGCAGTTAATTGTTACGTCCTGGACAAGCATAGAACATGCAATGTCTAGATTTGTTTGGTTTACTTCGGATCAGCTGTCCAAATCCTTATTATTTGAATCTGTTTCCTTTGGAGGTGGGTTACTGTTAGGTTTAAAAATAATAGTATTCTCGCTAGTGTTGAATTTAACTTCAAATATATTTCCCTTTATTTCAGATTTTATTCTCGGGACCGAAGATTTAGATGGATCTGTTTTGAAAACAGCCAGGTTGAGCGTGCCTGGATTATAACTTTTCAACAGACGTCTAAATTGAATCCGCCGTCCGGCTCTTCTTGTTCTTTTCGGCATGAGAGATTTTTAGGTAATATTTATTTTAACAATATCTATAATAGAGTAGATGGAAGGGACGTGGTTAAGTTTGAAGAATAAAAAGGCGAATGGTGCTCGTGGTTCAAGCACAACACTCTTAAAGTAAGGAAAAAAGAACGGTGCTCGTGGTTCAAGCACGGCGTTCTGGAAAAAGAATGAAGATGATAAGAGGGAAGAGAGGTAAAGAAATCTGTACACATATATATATATATATCATGAAATTACTCCATATTGTTAAGTTTAAAAATTCATACACTAAATTTAATGTAGTTAATAGCTGGCTCAATACTTATTCAAGTAAAAGAAATGTTTCTCTATAATATCATTATGAGGAAAAGAGGCTTGTTCGACCTTTAATGATTTGGATTTTACGTCTTAACAAACGTCTTAGCATTTGCAGACGGAGTCCCAAGAACAATAATCTTTAATACCGATCTTTTGATTCCAGGCTCAATACCCCTTGGCAATCGGCTAACAAGAGGCTCAGCGAAAGATTGTCTGATTGGAGGCTAACATGCCCGACAAAGACAGCACGTGAAATCCATGTGGATTCCACATTGATGATCTACGTGGAATCCATGTGGATAATCGAGTGGATATCCCCTTAAAAACGGTAGTCGAATCCACGTGGATTCGATCATCGATGTGACGTGGATTCCACGTAAAAATTTCGCCATATCTGTGTAATATTCACGTAGTATTTACATGTAATCGTTTCATAATATTGCAAAGTTGTATATAAAAAATGTAAACAATATAAGAAAGTACATAGTATTTATTTGATATCTTTTTTGTATTAAATATTATGTTATATATTGTTATAATATAATATATTTATACATGTTGTATATTGTTATAACATAAGTATAACTTTTTTCAAAAGAAAAAAACACAAGTTATGAAAATACATACATATTAAATAAAACAAACTATTAATATACAAATATATATATGTATATATATATATAAAAAACTTAAAAATATAGAAACAACCAAAAGCTTTAAAGAAAATTTTATAAATTATCAATATACTCATACAGAATAAATGTCCAAAGTACATCTTAGAGATATCCCATAGATATTGCAATATGTATAGAGAATGTATTTTGGATATTTGTTATGTATAGATATACAAACATATGAAACTAAAATATATTGAAACAATCAAAAGTCTTAAAGAAAATGTTATAAACTATCAATACCTATATAAAACAAATGTCTAAAATACATCTGAGGGATATTCTACAGATATTACGATATTTACAATATATCGCTGAAAGGTTTTTTGGATATTTGTTCTATATAAGTGTACATATGGAACTTAAAAGCATAAAATAACCAAAAGCCTTAAAGAAAATGTTACAAGCAAACTATTTGAAGTTTTTTACGCAGTTTCATTTTCTTCTTGTTCGTCTTGTTGCCCGCTTTTCCGTAATCGAAGTAATTCATTTTCGAGACGTTTTTTTGCGTCTTTTAACCAATTTGTAATATGTAAATCAGCAATTTCTCTGTTATATGTGAATTGAAGGCCTCTATCTATCCTTTCTTGTGCATGTTTCTTCACAATAGCTGCAAAAAAACAAGTATTATATACTACATTATATAACTAAATATATTAATACAAATGTGTCGTGTTGTGCAAATATTAAATTTGTACTGAGTATAGAATTTTGTATATTTATGTAATAGAAAAAAAAGTAAAACATATTATTATGAAAATAGCGACAATGTGCGACTTATATATAATATATAAATCTTACCAATAACAAGAATGTAAGATGTTGTGCTTTGAAATTTTTTTTTTCCATATCTTGCTCCTTCTCTGTTTGTTCCCTTCAAATTGAAGTTAACTGCGACTTTGTTTGTCATAAGTTTGCGCATTATGCAATATATAGAGCCTTTTAAATTTTCCGTGCAATGTTCTATTAATTGTCGAATCTATAACATATAAAATAATAAAATAGAAAAAGGTCGCAGTAATATATAAGTTTTTTAAACACAAGGAAAAAGAAAAATTTTTTCTTACCATAATCAATTTTTTCTCCTCCTGCAATATGAAATCTTCCCATACGCAGAAATCTTCCATAGAAATCACCGGTAGAGTTGGAATCCCGATAGAATTGTCTAATGTTTCTGCAGGATGGCATGTAGCAATATAAATTTGTGTCACCATTCCTTGTAATTTATCAATACGGTTTCGTAAATCACTTATTGCTGCCATTATAGACTTTTCGCTTAAACCGGCTATTTTGTAAAAAACAATTATATTGTTATATAAAAAGATATAAATAGCTTGTTGGTAACAATGCAATATTATTAGTGCTATAATGTAAAGAACTGTTTTTATATTGAAAATAAAACTTACAATTTATTGTGACATGTGATTTGTTATGAGAGTTTACAGGAAACGTACGTTTGTCTGTAAAAAAACAGTACAATCATGATAAATATAACATATTTTTCAACAACGGTTACAATACGAGCTTTCCGCAAAATATTTTTTTAATAATTGTTTCTATGTAAATTACAATAATTAAAAATAATCGTACCTCGTGTTATTTTATAGAAACCAGGATCGTCACATTGTCATATTCTCTTACTATGTTGTCTTGCCTGTTTGTTTGTAAATCCTTTAGAACGTTACACTTATTTTTCTTTGAAAGATTAGGGTTTATATTTTCATTAATACTTTCATCAATAGATGAATATGTAAGACATATATCATCTGAAATTTGAGATCCCTGTGACTTGAAAAGAGACACATCTAAATGAAAATTAAAAAGCATATGTAAAGTTAAAAACAATTTAGAGCAACATGAAAAATATTAACATAAATGAAATAGTTAAAAAAGAAAATTATATAACCTAAACAAACAACAAAATTTGTAAAAAATGCAAACTATTACAAGTAACAATACTGAAAAAAAGAAGATTAACATGTAAAGTCAGAATGACTACTGTTTTAATATGTTTAACAAGTACATAAGCATCTTACTTTATGCTTGATTTGTATAATTATTGTTGCAAGTGTCATCAGGATGTGAAAATTGTGATGTCTTTTCCTTCTTATTTGCTGAAATATCAAAGAAAATTAAGAAAACAGAAAAACAAAAAGTTTTATATACTACATGTAATATATGTAATAAATGAAAATAAAATTAAGTATATAATATATATATATATATATAATATAATATATAATATAATAAAAGAATTAACTATTTATCTTTAAGCCTTTTACAATTGGTGCTTGTAACTCAATATCACTGTCTGAATCAGAAGAATATATAGTATGTTTTCTTCGATTCATTGATGTTAAAATCAAAGGAGGATTGTATCTTCTAGTTACAATTCGTTGGTGCTTAATGTTTCCATCCTTGTCAGACTGTGACAGATCCGAGATATTTAAAGCTTTTTCCACTTCTTCTTTAGATTGTCTTATAGATTCTAACATGCAATTAGGACAAGAAACAGAAAAACATGATAGCTTGGATAGATTAGAAAAGATAGAAATAAATGAACATTAGTGTTGCAAATGAATTTGACGTATTAAAAGACATGTCCCTTATGTATTATAAAAAAAAAAATAATGAAAAGGAGAAAGCAAAAGTCAACACATTACTTATAAAAATAATAGCACACAACTCTGATATATACACAAAATATAATACTTCCTACAAAACTTCAAAATTTTAACATTTTCATATGTAATCCAATTCACAGTTGGTTTCTTTCTTTTTTCTAAATAGTCACTTAGTTTTAATTCGTCTGGAGGCCATTTGCATAAAGCTGCAAATGTAACTTGTTTGCCATCTTTTGCAGACACTTTTATAGTTATATCCTCCAGCCACGCAGTACATGCTGGCATTGCATAAACAGTTGACTCCAATTCATTTTCTATAGGTAATTTAAATACAGCATACTGCAATAAAATAGAATTATTCTTCTCTTCTCTTCTCTCTCTCTCTCTCTCTCTCTCTCTCTCTCCCTCCCTCCCTCTCTCTCTCTCTCCCTCTCTCTCTCTCCCTCTCTCCCTCTCCCTCTCTCCCTCTCTCTCTCTCTCTCTCTCTTTCTCTCTCTTAGACACTTTTGTACTGAAAACATTATCCGATCTTCGTTTACCCAGAGAAAATAATCATGTGGATTCGACGTCATATTCTGATTGAGTTTATGTAATAAACAATAAAAACAAAATGACTATCAGCACAAAAGCATTCAGGATGAACTTGACCTAATTATTCCTCTGTATCAACTTACCGGCTTATCCGCATATATTTGCATACTCATAGATATAAACGAATACGATATGAAAATGATAGAAACAAATACTAATGCTAATAGTAACAATTGAAATGAAAAGCAAAATTCCGTAGCTCAGCAATACTTCCAACAGACTTTATACGTGATTTAAAAGAAAGCTAAAGTACCTCTAACAGAAGATTCTCGATAGAATTCGATATATCGATTTTCCATCACTGCACTGCTGTCGATAACAATAACAAAATGTATCATAATACTGCGAAGAGATTGCAACAATAATACAGTGATACTTTTGTTGAACAACAATTTTTACTAATTATTTGCTTATTAGTCAATTTCTATTCTAAATAAAGCATGTCAACTGCATTGTCGTCTCAGGTTGAATTTTGATATTCACTCTCAGTTTCGCCATGCTAATTGGCTATCTCGAAACCTCGATCTCGATGTGTGAGAGAGAGAAAGAAAGAGAGATTCATGGCAATCGCAAACAGTGTCGTCATAAAAGTAATATGCTGTGATACTTGGTGTTTTAAGAGGATATTCTCACATAATAAAATTGTTTCTTAATAATAACACGTTATTCTTATAATATTTATATATATAAGTGTTATTAAGACATTATATATATTATAGACGTTAAAACTAAATGGTGAATTCTTTCTATTTTTGCCATGTCTAACAAACAGGTTTGTTTACTTACAGGTTTGTTGATTTAGCATATATATTGTTAATATTAAAGCATTCGTGTCTTTTTTCTGTTGGAATTATTTAAAATATAATATTAATATGTATTGAACTTTTGTTGCAATGTATAGAAATTGTGGAATAAAGAATGGAAGAGGTTGAAGAGAAAATATAATAAAAATCTTAGTATCTTAAAAGAAGAAGAATATTTTGAAGACATTGCCTCGAAAAGCATTTCTTATAATTTCAATACCAAATATTGCAATGAAGAACAACAAGTTGCAAATGAAGATTATGATACTGATAATAACAATGAATATTATGACGGTATGTCCTTAAATATTAGAGTAATTCTTATCCATCCAATATTATGAGTGGTATTTATAGTCAAATATTATATTTAAGATTGTTTAATATTCATTTTTATATGCTATACAGCTTGTTTATTGGCTATCGAATATCTGAAAATGAACTTGAAATAACCTTAAATATAACAATTAACTATGAATATCGATTTAAGTACAGTTGATCATTATTCATATATTAATATAAACCTTTTATATATCTGCAGATTATGATTGTAGAAGCAAGAACAACCAATTTAACACAAAAAGTAATCCATTAGAAAATACAGATAGAGTACAAGTATATTCTTTACTTAGAGACAAAGAAGAAAGTGTATATGAAGCTGATAATGCTTCACACATTACAAATTGTGGAGAATTTTTAAGCCATTTTGAGTGCCAAACATTACAAAATCACAATAATAGCATTTTTCATTGGGATGCACTGAGTGCGCATTAGGAACTCGTGGAGTTTAGGCAACACTATCCGAGTTTACCGACAGTACAAGTTTTTTTGCACGCCCAATGAAACACTCATGACTTGATGAGTGCGCATAAGAACCGATTCGCCTCGGATTGAAAGAAAATATATGCATTAACGTAAACTTCACTATGGAACAATCAGAAGAATTAAGCATTTCTTTCAAAGTCAATAATGACATGCTCTCGTTAAAACTTCTATCAAGTGAAACAGAGTTATACAATAAATTAATGAGTAAGTATAGAATTATATAGGACTTGCATGATTTTGGATTTTGAGGTTATTCCCGTAGTATAAATAAATTGTCGGCAAAGACATATGTACTTATGTACATAATAGTATTGTCTACTCGAAAAACTTGAATGCATATATAACCCCTTGTAAAGCTTGTAAAACACAATTCATTTGATATTCAAAAATATATATATAAAAGAATATTAACTGAATATTATTGATTCTTATGTCAATTAATTTCAGATGACGATACCTACAGCATACAATATATAAAACTTGTGATTAAAAATGGATTGTGTGTTCTACATGGAAGCGAAAATCAGAAAATTGAAGAAATATCTCGAGTGATTGAAGATGAGTAAGTAAAATTTTTTTGAGATGTATTAATTGCAAGCTATCAAAATCTTCCGAAAAAGCACATTAAGAAGTTAAGAGCAAAGTTTATTTTATAAAATGTAATTACCATTTTATTTTACAAGTTTACTTTAAAAAAATAAGTAAGTTTACTTTAGGGTAAACAGGAACTCTTCAGTTTCTTACATACATATATTAATTCCAAGCAATCTTGTTTTTCATTATTTCTTCAAAGAATCAAAGTTCTACAGAATTCAAATGTACACAACAGAAAAAAAATTAAAAAAAAAATAAAGGGTAAGTCAGAGGACCTCTGCAACGAACTTTGACAAATTGTTTGGAAGGTCATTCTGAGTAAAAAATGTTATATGAACACAGGTCCTATTCTTAATATTTACATAATTACAGAAATTGTAAAATTTAGGTGACATGTACAGTTATGAAATGAATTATGCATTTATTTCTTCAAGTATCCTTGCGGACAGTTTACAGGAGTTGTTCAAAGTGTTTATTCTGAATCTGATTACTTTTATTACACCATCGTAGCAGTGATTGTCAAATTCTGTCGAACATTTGAGGTCTGTAAATATTAAGAATAGGATCTATGTTCATATGACATTTTTTAATCAGAATAACTTTCCAAACAATCTGTCTAAGTTTGTTGCAGAGGATCCTTACTCACCCTGTATATGGCAGTGTAAAATGTCAATATATTTTGTATTACAGAGAACAATTGATATTCCACGCGAATATTCATGGTGATAATCGCAGCAATGAAGATCAGCTATCGGAGTATAATAAAGAAAATGAAGCACTCATGTTTGAATCCTTTGAATCACAGGAGTATGATCAGAATGAATCACAATCGCAGGAGTACGATAAAAAAGGAAAGAAGAGTAGCGGTAAATCTGTTTTAATAAAGCATTTACGACTATTCATAGCACTATGATAATGTACTATAAAATATGGTATTTATTATATTCGAGCAGAAAATTAATACGATACGAAACGAAAAATGATACGTTAATAAATATAATCTAAATATATTATTAATAAATAAAATATATACAATATATATGTATAATAGAATATATATAAATATAATATAAATGAAATAAATATAATATGAAAAATGTAATATAAAATATAAAAGATTTTTTAAAATCTTTGACTTTACAAAATTTTTACATTATTGTAATACCTACTAATAGGTTTACTGGTGCTATAATGTAGACTATTGTATTAATCATTAAACAACGTGATTTTCAGATTACTGGAGCAATTCAGGAACATCGTTTCTTCTCGATAAATATGAAACATATATGTCGGATATTGGTCCCATGAAAAAATTCAAAACTAAAAAATTGATGTGGGTGCAAATTTCAAGAGATATGCTGACGATGTTGGACGTATTAAAAACTCCTCTTCAAGTTGAAAATCGGTATAAAACCGTTCTCAAAAGGAAAAAAAAAAGCAGTTGAGAACAACTCTAAATCAGGCAGCTCTAGAGAGGATGTACCATTCGAAGAAGAATTGCGTAAAATTGCTCATTCGGACGATAGTATTGAGCCCGAGGTGTTGCGAAATGCAAGGAGCGTTAAATATCCTAAATTGAATACAAGGAGCGTTAAATATCCTAAATTGAATACAAGAATGTCGGAAGAAATCTGCAATGATAGTGCCTCTACACATTCTACTGATAGCTTACCACCGAAGACAAAAAAATCGAAACCAAGTGATATTGATAAAAGAATGGAATACTGGAAAAATAAAGAAGCGGCAAAAGAAAGACGTCACCAAGAAAAATTGAATTTAATACGGGAGTTGTTCGCCAAACAAAAGTAGCGGGAACTAAAGTAAGATGATACAGAAACAAGCAAGTATTAAAAAAAACCAAAGAAAGACTAATGTAAAATCAGCCTGAACCATATGTTAATATGAAAGTTCCTAACTAAAACGTTGGATGTGATATATAATTTTAATTATCTTTTTTTTCTCTTATAATTTTGTACGTTTACTAATTGTATGTCTTTGTTTTTAATATTACTGGTTTTTAATATTAGCATATGCATATTTTGATTTTCGCACTTTACGAAAGATATAGTACTGCTCAGACTATTAAGTATGAATCAGTATAAAGTAAACTTATTGTGTTATTTAATTTTAAAACAGTGTTATTTAATTTTACAATCAAACTTTTTGAAAAAGCGTGTATGTTAAAAAATTACATGTTTATGAAATAAATAAGAGATATAATATATGAATTTTGAAAAAATAATCAATATGTACGTGTTATAAAAAAAATATGCTTTGTTTTTATACGTTTTGTTTTTTATTGGAAAGTATGTACTTATTTGCCACAGGACAAATAAACGTTTGATAATTTCATATTATATTGATTTTTATTTCATGGAAAAAGTACATTCATCAATTGATTTCTTTTTATTTCCCCTAATCTTCGTAATAGAGCTTCTTGTTGACCTCTGCCTTCATTATTATAATCTTCATTGTTTTCTATAACAATATCGACATCAAAGTTATCGTTGTTGTCTATGCATAAGTTATGCAAAACGCAACATGATGTAATAAATTTTGATATTTTATTAACAGTATGTAGATCTACTTCGATTAATTGTCGAAAACGACCTTTCAACAGTCCAAACGCATTCTCGATCAATACTCGAGTCGCAGACAGCATTTTATTAAATTGTTTATCCTTTGCAGACAGATTTCCGTAGTCTTTAAATGGTATAATAAGCCATTCTCTTATTGGATACGCTCCATCGCCTAGGATGTGATATTTTCCGCCTTCACATATTCCTGGCAACTTGTCGCATATATCTGATAATTTGAGTACGCGCGCATCGTGAATTTTCGACGGAATTCCTGTAAATGTATCTATAAATCTCTTTCGAGCATCACATATGCCCTGCAATGTTATCGAAGGGATGTCATGTCTATTTACATATGTCGATTTTATTTTGTGGGCTGGCGTTCGGACTTTAATGAAAGTCCCATCAATGCAGCCAAGAACTTTCGGAAATCCTGCAATCTTCAATTTTATATACATATACATTAAATAACTCATTAAAAAAACATACATAAAATACAATAAAGCTGAAACTAGTAGCAAATTCGCATAAGCACTGTTTAGAACTAAAGAATAATAGAAAAATTTTTAGCATTAAATAATTAATTAACAAGAAATTGACATTTATTAAATAATAATTAAAAACTACTGCTTTCATAATTCAGCTATGAATCGGCTGCTAGCTTTAGCTTCATTAAAATACATTAATTAAATATACATACTTGAAGGAATTCGTTTGCAGTATTTTCTTTGTCAGAAAATTTGATGACGTTTCCAGCTATATCGCATAGAAAATCCATCATTCTTTTATTTTGTCGAAAAATCGTTGTAGCGCATACTCCAAATCTTTGTGCAACATCTCTTAAGCACACTTTATTTCCTGCAAACCTATACAAAGTAATATTTTTTGAAATCTTTTTAATATTATATATATATATATATATATATATATAATATGAGTGGTGGATGAATTAAAAACTATACATGTATATGTAAAACTTACCACAAAAAAGATAAAACGTGTGATTCAGCAGAGGACGGTTTAATACCTCCGTGGCTTGTGCTCACCAGAATAGAACGTCGAATTTTCGAAATTATTTATAATATCATATGCTGTTGCCCTCGAAACTGGGATTTGAACTACAACAAAAATAAAAATTACTTTCTACTTTTATTTTCACAAGCTAAATTATAACAATAAACTTACGTCGTGATCGGAATATTGATGTACTATTTGCAAAAAGTTTTTCATTTTAGGAACAATTCGCCTCGGATTTCGAAGAAAATACTCATCTTCATCACTGCTGGATGAAGATGAAAGGAAATCCGAAATTATCACATACGTTTGTTCATTCAAAACATCTCTGTTCTGCGCCGCCATGTTTTGCACTCAACCGACACCATCTCTCCGAGCTCGTGCCGAATTTGTGCACGAAAGTGCAAAAACTCGACACTACATTTTCCAATGAAACACGACGCATGATTTTAATGTGCACTGAAATTCCCAATGAAACACATCGTCCACGACTAGTGCGCATTGAGTGCGCACTCATTTTCCCAATGAAAAACGCTATAACTCTTTCTCTAGTAACATAACCTTTCCTATTTGTCAACCATTATATGGGCAACAAACAGACGTTGAAGAAAATACTACTCATTGCAAAGATATAAATCCTGACATGAAACTAGCTCAAGATCTTCAAGTGTGGGCTATGGAAAGAAATGTCACACTTAATGCACTGTGTCATCTTTTAGCAATTTTAAGGAGACATAATCATAAATGTCTTCCTAAGTATGCACAGACATTGTTAGAAACTCCAAGAAGCATCATTAATCAGAGAATTTGAAGGCGGTGGACAATACCACGGTATTCTCTCTGGTCTGAAAAGCATACTGTCGACAAATATTTTGAAAAGAATGTCTGACACAATTGAAATTGATGTGTTTTTTGATGGGTTCTCGCCATATAATAGTATACGGCGAATTTTGTGGCCAATTGCTGGCTGCATAGTTGATAATAAAGAGGTTTTTATCATAGCCATATGGTGTGGAGAATCTAAATGTCCACCAAATCTTGACGCTTATTTAGAAGACTTTGTCAATGAAGTTTTAGAATTGAAAAATGGTTTTAATATTGAAAATAGACATTACAAATTAAAAATAAGAAATATAATTGCTGATGCGCCTGCCAGAGCATGGCTGAAATGTGTCAACCAACATGGAAGTAAATTTGCTTGTGAAAGGTAAGTATTACATATAATACAATAAATAAACATTTTTTTGCTTCAAATGTATGTATGCTGGGTAAAATAGCTTATTTTGAAAAAACAATCGTGTTTATTTGTATAACTTGTTTTGTATATGATAAAATAATATCCCAGTAGACAATGTTATATGTAATACATACATGTTAGTTGTAATTTCCCACTCAATAATGTAAATGTTATATAACACATGTTTTATATAATAGTTACATTATTAATTAATAATAACATTATTAATAGTTACATTATTAAGTAGGAAATTACAATTAACATGTATGCTACATGTAACATTGTTTACTAGATTATTATCTCTTGGAATTCAGAAACTTTTGTAGTATTCTTTCCATTACTAAACGAACGAATGTGACTCACTTTGCATACAAATCGTAGAACTTAAAAAATATTAAAAAATATTTATATATAAAAAGATTAGAAAAGAATATTTTTGTACTTCTATTGTCATGTTCATTTTGTTCTTTCAAATAATTCTTTTGCTAATATAAAATGCTGATATAAGAAAACAATTGTTAATGATAAATTTAAAATATATGGTTACAATGAAATGTTGAATATTTTATTTAATATTAATATTTTTGTTTCATAGGTGTACTGTTGCAGGAGAATGGTTTGGCAACCGTATGACATACCCTTCTCATGAGGAAGCACCTTTACGAACAAACGAATCTATTTGTCAACAAATTCACAAAGAATACCATAAGGGAGTTAGTCCTCTGATTGCAAGACTTCAACTTGAACCCATAACTTAATTTCCCTTGGAATCTTTCAACTTATTATACTTCGGAATTATGAAGCGTATTCTGTCAAAGTTATATTGTGGTAAAAGTAGTAAATATAAGTTGCCTCGCGATGTTATTTTACAAATAGATAATTTTTCTCTTTATCTACGATCTTTTTTTTCATCCGATTTCGCTAGAAGACCGCGTAGATTGAGCGATTGGAAATATTTCAAAGGTACGGAATTTAGAAGGATTTTATTATATGATGGTTTCTTAATTTTTAAATTAATGCATCGAGAAGTATATAAAAATTTTCTTTTATTTGCTAGTGCTGTTCGAATTTTAGTTGACCCTCTATTAGTTAAAGATTATATCGTTGATGCTGACAAATTACTTCGGTTGTTTGTAGAACACAGTTGTAAAATTTATGGCCAAACTTTTGTCGTATATAACGTCCATCATTTAATACACCTTGCTGCGGATTGTCTGTTACATGGACATCTAGAAGAATTTAGTGCTTTTAAATTTGAAATTTTTTTGGGATGTATGAAAAACTATTTGCATGCACCAGGGAAGACACTTCCTCAAATAGTTTGTCGTGTGATGGAAAAAGCAGCCATGCTTCATCATTTCTCTGCTACAAAAAATGAATTATTATTTGAAAAGCATCATAATACAGGGCCAACTTTAAACTGTCAAGGACAACAATATAAGAAAGTTCGAATGTTAAATACATTTTTTCATGTACAGTCTGCTGATGCATATTGCCTTACAAAACCCAATGAGGTGCTTAAGATTGAAAAAATTATAAAATGTACGGAAAGAAATTATTTAATTGGCAGAAAATTTGAAGAAAAATCTAATCTCTTTTCGTATCCATTTTCATCAAGTCTTATAAACATATATATAGTTAGCACTCTTGGACTTTTACACAGGTGGTGCTTAGATGATGTTAAAAGGAAAATTGTATTATTACCCTTCCCTGAAAAGAATGCGGAAGATAATACAATTATATCAAAAAGCGTCTGTTTTCCAATGCCCCATTCTGAAATATTGTTTTAGTATAGTATCGAATTGAATGTTTGTGTGTAAAGAAAACCATGTAACATATAAATCAAATATAATAAATATAAAATTATTTTAATATTGTTTTATTCTATAATTATTATAATCTATATCACTGTTTCTTTCTTCTATAGAATAAAATTGTTTTTTACAATACAAAATTATCTTATCTGTAATATATATGGAGATCCAAATATTCGTATATTTCATTACCTCTCAAAAGTGACATTGCGATTAACAATATGCCTTGATTGATTAATTTTATACAGGGTTTTTAAAGTTCCAGAGCAATCACATACTTATAGATTATATCATTCTGGACAAAAAAGTCTTATACATATTAGAAATAACTATGCAAAGTTTTCAGTTATTAATAAAATAAAAACTTATTATCTGGGTCACACTTCTCATCATTGACTGAATGAGGCTATACAATTTAGACTATATCTCTACATACTATATTACATATTACATTTATAAAACCGTTTCCTTTAATAAATAATTCCAAATTCTGCGTTTACTTACAAAAATAGAACATCTTTCTTTATTTCGACGTATGTTTTCGCAGGAATATTTCGAAATATCTACGTAGAATCTATATTGATATTTCGAGGATGAAATGCTTCGATTTATCGATGACAAAAGAACGTTAGATTCACGTCGATATTTCGATAAATGTCCATCCTCGTAGTCCACGTAAATTACGCGGATTCGATGTGGATATAACGTTGATGCCTTTGTGGGGCAAGAGACTGCTTAGAGACTGACGAGAGACTGCCTAGCGCGCGAAGGGCCGAGCCCTTTTTATACCCGAGCCCGACACTATGGATATCAATTGAGCGTCTTTTCCTAATTCACCCTTCATTATTCATTGGTTAAAAAATATAAAAATATTATTATCTAGTAATTAAAATTATACTTAATCATATGTAGCGTTTGGTAATTCAGTTGTCTCGTTGTTGGCTGATTTATTAATAAAATTATGTTTTACTAAGAAATGGAAATGTTGTTATTGATTTCCTTTGGTATAATATAAGAATTTGGAAACTTAAAAGAATTATTTCATTCGGGCGTAGGTAATCGTTAAAGTTAAATAATACGAATAGATCCTCTTACAATTCTAAAGCGCATATACATTAGGATAGGCGGCTTGACAATAATATTTGAGGAATTATTTACGAAATATGATGGCAATTATTTAATATCATTTAAAAAGAAAAAAAATAGAAGAAAGAAAGGAAATTATTTTCCTCTTCGAGTCTTTGTTTCAGGTCTTTGTTTAGTTCGCAGTACGTGGGACAGCTATCACTCGATGATATATATAACATAAACACATTCCAATATGTGCGCGGCTGTGCCCGAACGAAATCGTTCTTAGTCCTCGAGACAAATGAATTTATAAGCTAGCTCTAAATTTATTTCTTAAATTTTCTTATTCTCTCTTTTCCTATTTTATATATTTACTATGTCGATGTCTGCTTCAGTCCTATGTTAATGTTAATTTTATTTCAAAATATGCTATTTATGATTATTTTTATGTTATTTAGTTGTTTGATAATCTATCGCTTACTAAACGAAGTAAGAAGGTAGAAGGAAGACAGAGAAAGAAAAAGATAGATGATGATTCAGTAAATAGTTTCGAGTATTAATGATATTATATTATATTAACGATAAAAGACGGCAGAGGTACCTGTTGATTGCAGAGGTGTTTGTAGGAGGCGTTGCAGTTGGATTAGTCGATGATAGGTAAGGATTTGATTGGGTAGGAAAAGGTATGGTGAGTTTTGGTGAGAAGATAGGGAATTTTAATATGGTGGGACGTTATATAATTCATAGACATAACTTAAGACCAAATTCAAAGTTGAATCTTAAGCTTGTACTTAGTCAAGTAAATATCATTTCATAGTCAAATCTTAAGTATAACTTGAGATTTGTAGATGCATAGTAATTATTGCTCAAGCCACATCTTAAGCCGGCTTTAGTCAAGTCCAATAAGGTAATTGACCCAGTTGTCGATAACTTAAGACGGGATTCAAATTATTTCGTTAAAAAAATGTTTAAATAAAAAATAAAATAGAAATATTTTGTTTTCTATACTTGATTTATAAATTTAATTAATATATATAATGCAAAAAATGTTATGTTAAAACCATATTTTAAAATTTGATTTAAAATAAAAAGATCCGAAAGGAGCAGTTGTCGATAACCATTTTACGGGTCGGAGCAGTTCTCGATAGGTAGAAGACCCTATTCTCGATATGTCAGGAAAATGAGGTTAAACATAGGACTTAGGCCGATATTCATAGTCGGATCTTATATTTAAGACCGTCTTAAGTTTATCTTCAAACTCTGTATAAAGTATTTTATTAGCTATACAGTATCTGAAAGTGAACTTAAGACGGTCTTAAATATAAGACCTGACAATGAATACCAGCCTTAGGATTATACAAATTTTATTCGAAATTGATAATTCGATTAATTTTATTCAAGATATTTACAATAATACTTAAATAATTGTTTTATTAAGTACAACATGGCAAATATTGTGTAACATTATGAACATAAATATTTGAAATAAAATATTTGTAATGGAAACGATCGACTATCACAGAACAAAAACAACTTTTACATAGTAACGAACAGTAATAAAGAGCCTTTGGTACCTATAAACTGAATTCAGAACATCAAGTTTAATTTATAGGTTTTAAAGGATCTTTATTATTGTTTTGCTGAGCTTTAATGTTTTTCTTGTTGCAAAAAATTTTCTTTTGTTTGTAGTAAATCTTGTTTAAGATTAAGAATTATTTAATTAAGAATTAAATCTTTTTCGATGTTTTCTTTTAGATTTTTTAATTCTTTTTCTAGCAACGAATCTGTATCCTCAAATTCTTTGCTTTTCAATTGTAATCTTAATAATTTTTCTTCTGTTTTATTTTTTTGTATTCTCAATTGTAATTCTTTAAGTTGTTTCAAAACACTGATCTTTTTAGGTTTAATTTTTTTTTAGATCTTCTAGTAATTCCTACTTTACTCTTATTTTTTCTTCTTTTAAATTTTTCATATTGGCCTTCTTTTGTTATAGTTCTTGCTTTTTTTTTTAGTTCGTGCCACTCTCTCCATTCTGGACCAGTAGCTACATATGGAAGTTTCTCCTTATTTCTTTTCTTTTTGGAGTTATTCCTTTTATTTGTCTCTGGATAAAAGAGATACCCTCCAAATATTGACTATGCAGTAGAACCTGAATATAAAAAAAAATTGTTAATCATATGTTCATAATAATTTATATTGACTTCATATTAGCTTTATTTATAATACTTACTATCGATATTAGTTTTAGGAACTTCGTATTCACATTTACTTGTATTAAGAATATTTGAAGTAGGTTTAGAAACTGTTGATGTACTTGGACAGATGTCAGTGCAGCCTAAAAAGTTAAATTATATTAATAATTTATATTGAGTAAAAAATACAAGAAAATAAATGTTAATTTCTTGCCATTAAGATTAGATGACATTTTTTCCAAATCATCTACAATAGTGCCTGCATATTCTTGGTTTTCTTTACTTTTTATATTGCATATTACATCTAGATTATTATTACAACTCTTAATATAACGCTTATTTACTATACGTGAATCTAAAGGACTATCAGGAGTAACATGCGTTTGAATACAAAGACAAGTATCCTGTTGAGATTATAATATTTAAGGTAAGTTACATCTAAGTACAGCGAACAATATAAATATCCATACATTTACAGCAAACATTAGATTAAACATGATTCTAATTTAAAAATCTTACAAATGTAAAATATATTCTTAAATATATATCTAAAGTATTCTTAAATATATATCTAAAGTATTTTTTTGTCAAATATATTTAATCTTAAATACTTAATATTACATTATGTTAAGATTTTATTTTTTTATTTATCGAAAAGACTATTTAATTTTGAACGGCCTTTTTAATACAGAAATTTTTTGACGATTGAGTTTAACATAAATTACCTTTTCGAAGTTAGAGTTATTGTTCGTACTATCATGATCCAAGCTGTCATGGTTTAAAATTATATCATTGCTATCACTCCGAACAGAACCTGTCAATTACAAATGAACGAATTTCATTATGATTCTCTTCCGGCTTGTCGATAGCTATTTTGTTGACTGTAATGGATTCGGAGGCAATTATGTCTGTGTTGAAGTCTTTTCCATCCATTCTAACTTTATCGATGACAATTACGCTGTTATCAAGTTCATCACTGGAAAGGTTTTGTGTTACACCAGCGAAACCAGAGTGGTCATCAACGACCGTACAATTGCTGACGTTGATGACATCAAATGCACCCATAGCAATTTCGAGTTCCATTTGACTGATCGTGGTTACATTGACTACTGCTTCACTGGTGTTTGCAAATACATAATTTTCAATTTCAAAATTATCATTCTTACTCTGATAACTATTTTCTGGATTACTTGACTCAGTAATTGCATTGCTTTTACAGTGTATCCAAAAATTGTACAGTTCTTTATATTCTACTGCACCTGTCCATTCATTAGAATAATTATTTTTAAACTCTCCCAAAATATCAGAATTAATATTTTTTTCAACAAAATTCATATTTTCTTGCGATGAGATTTCTTTATTGACCTCTTCTTGTTCATGTTGATTACTGGTGTCATTGGTTTTACTACTTTTCATTAATTTACTATAATCTAGGCCATCTTCAGAAAAAGGAGAAAGTCCACATCTTTTAAAACCATTTTTGAAAATTGTCTGAATGTCCAATAAATATAAAGCAGTTTTAAGTACAATTGGAAAGAAAACTTTGCTTAATTGTTGACCATTATTTTCCATTCGCCAAGTACGAACTGCATCTCTGTAAGTTGTTTTCAGGGGATGGAACAGTGCAACATCCATCGGTTGCATCACATTAGTTACATTGGGAAATAAGGCAACAAATTCTATTCTATGACTGCAGCAAAAATCACTCAAGGCCTTAGTTAAATGTGAACTATGTCCATTCACATATAATATAATGGGGAACTGTATATTATTCTTCATGCACTGATATAACGTATGAATAAAATATCTCGCCTGTCATCCAGCCAGTTTCACTTTTTCCAGTCACAAATTCATCAGGAAAATGTTTTTTGTGAAATGCGATGTGTGGGAATATAATTTCTACTAGTTTTATCAGCTGTTCGACCACGCGTTTTCTCGCATGAATAGACCTCTTTTCATAGCCCATTTTAGGCTGTATTAACTGTTGAAGCAAAAGGGGAGAATTCGGAACTTTTTACAAGTGTGCTGAAGCCATTTCATGTCTTGTTTTGGAGGAATATAATTTTATTTTGAAATGGCACGCAAGAATTCTCAGTGGTACTTCTCGCCTATGACGTCACAATTCCAATATGGCCGCAGTGACCATCCTGTGCTGCGATTCTGTAACTCGTTATTGGAGTTAACGACAGTTTCGTTATTGTTGCGCAGCTTTTCTACGGTATACAAAAGCTGCGCAACGATAACGAAAGTGTCGTTAACTCCAATACCGAGTTACAGAATCGCAGCACAGTACCGCGATTCTGTAACTCGTTATTGGAGTTAACGACACTTTCGTTATCGTTGCGCAGCTTTTCTACGGTATACAAAAGCTGCGCAACGATAACGAAAGTGTCGTTAACTCCAATAACGAGTTACAGAATCACGGTACTGTAGCGGGATTCTGTAACTCGTTATTGGAGTTAACGACACTTTCGTTATTGTTGCGCAGCTTTTGTATACCGTAGAAAAGCTGCGCAACAATAACGAAACTGTCGTTAACTCCAATAACGAGTTACAGAATCGCACCACTGTGGTGCGATTCTGTAACTCGTTATTGGAGTTAACGACAGTTTCGTTATTGTTGCGCAGCTTTTCTACGGTATACAAAAGCTGCGCAACGATAACGAAAGTGTCGTTAACTCTAATAACGAGTTACAGAATCGCGGTACTGGGGCCTTAATAAGTCATATAACAAGTGCAGTAGACTGACCATCTACATAAATATCCGGATTCGAGATTCAAATTGTTCAGTGACTTCGTTCCTTTCTCGAGACTCTCTTTCTGATAGGACTTACGATGACCGATCTACCCATTTCCTCACTGAATGCATAGATAGTCGACCTGTTATCCATCAATCTTCCACAGATCCTCTTAACCACTCGCAATAGTTTGCTCTCTTACTAGCTTCTCTGTCAGCGCGCACCTCATCGCCGATCTTCCTTCTTCTTGTCCATCCTCTCGCTGATATTTACCCATATATATCTATTTTATCAATCCCTACTATATTTATTGTGCTGTCTCTCTATTCTCATCTATTTGTTACATTGCTATTGTCATATCAAGGATCATACACTATTATGTACTGTGGTTTCAACTACTAATATTATATTAGCTGTACAGATTGAAAAATTCTTTTGCACAATAAAAGTACTTATAATAACAAAGACCGGAAGTAACAGTTTCATATAAAATTCATTTCTTTTACTTTAGTATTATTCTTTCATATTATGTTTAATCTGGAAGTAAGCTTTTGCACAGATAAACTGCAGAACTTTTATAATTAATAAGTTACAAGGTGTCACAGAACATGATAATGAAACTGTAATTTTTTAAATATTTCATTGAATTTTACAGAAAACTTTGTCTTCCAGACTGCATTATACATACTTTCATTGTGCAAAAGGATTTTTCAATCTGTGCAACTAATAAAAAGATTAGTAAGTAAAAATATTGAAATCAATGTGTCAGTAAAATAGATGGCTGCAGGATCCCCTTAACATGATTTTTATTGTGTCTATTGTTAGTAAATATCTAATATCATGAATTAATATTAAAGAATTAAGAAACAATAGCTGTGATTGGAATATCTGACAAAACTGACATTAGTGTCATCTCTTATAAAACTTTCAAAACTATATTACATTCCTAATATATTGTAATGTTTAATTGAGCTACTAATTCACTGCTCTAATTAGGAAATTTCTTCTGATAACATAATTATATAATAGAAAATCTTTTAAATTGCTTTTACACATATAAAAATATTTATTAATATTTGTCTATAAAGAATTTTCCTTTCTCCTTCTTTCTTTTATATAATTTTCTTATGTAATTAATAATATACTTAGAAATGTTTTGTTTGACTTCCAGATTAAATTACAGCTTTGTATCCAATTCAAAAGAATTAATTCCATCAGGTATATTCTGTGTTTTTAACATAGGTTTCAGTAACAATACATAATTTATTCCACAGATCTAAAAGATCATCCTTTGTCAAACCAATTTTACAAAATTCTTTCAACAAAGAACGATTCTCTTTAGAAAACTCAATTCCTAAAATTAAAAAAATTCTTTATTATCATAACTTTTTTCTCTATTTAACTGTTATTAATATTTTATATTACCTATATCTGTGGATTTTACTGTAAAGAAATGTTCTATGTGCCATGTGAGTTCCAAAAATGTTATTGACCAATGAAATACCAGATAAGTTTTTTTAGAATCAACAGGTGAACATATGTATACTAGTATACCTCCACTTTGCTCAGTATATTGCTCGACTTTTGCATATTTCTCTGCTTCTAAACTATGTAACACTTTAGATCTGAAGATACTATAATCATTGTAATCAGATAATGCTGAAAATAAATATAATATGATACATGACATATTAAGATTATTGTAATAATTCAATTATAATTATTTTACCAGACATAAGCAGTGAAAAGTTCTTAGTCTTTGTAATTTGTTGAAACCAAGGAGATATCTCAATCATATAACAATCTTCAACATTTATAAAATAACATATTATATCTTTGATTTTGAAATCATCTATACTCTGGAACAGAAGAAAAATATGTAATTCTATTATATAGTTAAAGTCTCCCTCATACACACACACATAACAAAAAATATAGTAATCAAATACCCTTATTTACATTAATAAGTACTGTCAATTCAAGGTTGAAAGAGACTGCTTTTGTTTCAACTTTAGCTGTATAAAGATAAATGTCGTCACGTAACCATTTCTTACTGACATTTTTAAACACTATACCAGTCACCTGACTTGAAATATCACATAATTTGGCCTCGTACATCGCAGATCGTGATTCCAATAATTTATCATTTCTATTGTCGGACGATAAGATACTATAAGAATACCAAACATTAAATAAAATTACAAATCAAGGAATTCATCAGAACAAAACGTATAAATTACGTAATAAATTACATATTGAGATTAATCAACGATTGATGTCCATTTTCTTCTTGATTCTTTAGCCTATCCCGTAATTGAAGTGCTTGTTTTAAGAGTTGTTCTTTCAATTCACATAATCGTCCTATATCTTCATCCACCATTTTGCTTTTATTGGTTGCGTTCCGAAATTCATTGCCAAGGGTCCTATTCTTGAATTCATGCGATAATTATCGCATGCGGAAAATATCGCACGGTCAGTATCGTATGCGCTTCAGGGCTGCGTTCCAAAACTTTACTCGGTCAACTCTATGGATTCGTAGTGGTGGGAGAACAGAGTAGAAGGGAGTAACGTGAGTTAACTCGGCGTTTTTGAACGGGAAGTGTTCTCTAAATGCGGCACAGATATATATATATATATATTTTTATATTTATATTTATATACATGAATGTGAATAATACGAAGTTATTTATTCTTATTAATGAAATATTTAGAAAAATGTTATTTACATATATGGACAACAATGAGAGCGAAAGTGAAACAGAAGAAGAAATATATATGCTAACGGAAAAATTACATATAAGAAAAAAGGAAAGAAGAATGTACGTATTGAATGTTATGTGGAAATCGTTGTTCCAAGATTTTCAACAGGACAATTCAAACAACATTTTCGTATGATCCCAGATACTTTTCATGTATTGGAAAATATATTAAGTCTAAGACCATCTAAAATAAATATTATAGGCAGATCCTATATAAAACCAAGAGTGCAATTACTTGCAACATTATGGCTGTTGGCAACTCCTGATTCATACAGGTAAATATTTTTTATATAAAATATATCTATATAAGTTATCTATATAATTAATATATATATAGTTATTTGTTTTTTGGCATGCACATGAATAAGAATATTCATAATAAAGAACATTTATGTTGTTACAGATCTGTTGGGCTTAAATTTGATTTGGCCAAATCGTCACTGAACCATTGTGTAAGACGTGTTGTTAAAGCTCTTTATGATATAGGAAGCAATTTTATCAAATGGCCATCTGTGGATCGCATAAATGTTATAATGGAGAAGTTTGCAAGAATAGCTGGTCTTCAAAATGTTATTGGTGTTATTGACTGTACACATATTGAAATTCCAGCACCATATGTAAATATCTACAACATTATTTTATTTTATTTCCAACTTAATATTTTTTTATTTTCATCATCAAGAAGTTGTATTAATGTTAATATTAGTTATTTATTTTATTATGAAGATAAATGCTCAATCTTATCTGACAAGAAAATGCAGAACATGCAGTTACACTTCAAGCTGTATGTGATACAGACCTATATTTCATTGATTGCTTTGCTGGATATCCTGGGTCAGTAAGTGATATTAGAATTTTCAGAAATTCTGATTTGTGGCAGGCTATTCATAGAAATCGTCGCTTATTCTTTCCAAACGAGGAATTTATTATAGGGGATAAAGCTTATCCCTTACTGAGTTGGTGCTTAATAGCTTTTAAAGATAATGGCCATTTGACACAAGTAAGTATATTTTATAATTCTAAAACCAAATATTAAATTATTCTAACTTAATTTGTTGAAACTATATTGATATGGAATTTTTTGCTCGTTCTCTCTCTCTCTCCTCTCTCTCTCTCTCTCCTCTCTCTCGCTCTCCTCTCTCTCTCTCTCTCTCTCTCTCCTCTCTCTCGCTCTCCTCTCTCCCTCTCCCCCCCCCTCTCTCTCTCTCTCTCTCTTTGTGGTATGCGTATGTTTCTTATATTTTTATTTTATATATTTTTTTCTTACAGGTCGAAAACAATTTTAATCATATATTATGTCAAACCAGACAAACAATTGAGCGAGCATTTGCATTATTGAAAGGCCGCTTTAGACGCTTCAAATATTTGCATGCATTGATTTGATACCAGCAACTATATTAACCTGTTGCGTCCTTCATAACATATGTTTAAACTCTGGTGAAGAAATAGAAACTTATCTGATTGAAGAAGAACAAAGAAGGGAATGTGATGCAGAGCAAGAAGAGCATCATGGACAAGTTGAAGAACAATACGACAATGACGGTGTAATAAAACGCAATAACATTGCACGAAATTTATTTAGAGAAAGAGTATAGTAACCTGTGATGTTATCAATATAATTATATTTCAATATATTTTTTTATTTTATATAGGAGAAATGAAATATTACATGCAGAAGCTATGTGTACATAAATAATATAAATAAAAACTTAAATGAAATACAATCCTACAATTGTGTATATACATTCTTATTATACACATAAGATGGAAAATGAGTAAAAAACTTAGCTATATTTATTCTCATCTTTATAAAATATAAATATATTTTATTTGAGATGTATTAAATGTTCAACGTTTAAAACAGTATACATCATTTATAATCTTTATTAAAAAAACGAAATCTCTACCATACTTTTATTTTAATATTTGTGTTATATAAGCTGTTGGAAGCAAAAATCAATTTCCTTTCTAATTTGAGTTAATATTAAAATAGAGATACAAAACAGCTCTTTTGTATGTCAAATCAAATTAGAAAAAAGATTGACTTATCAATTTTTCTCAACAATTCATATATTACACATCACTTCACTTTTATATCAGTCTTTGAAATATTTTAACAGATATATAATCTTTTACATTAACAGATACTTAACTTTTTTCTCAATACAACTGTCTTATTAATTTTCGAAAAACAACTTCGCAATATTAATTCATATAGTTAAAAACGAAAATCGAATAGCAGTCTATTACCTTTAGAACAATATTTTCGAAACAAAAAATTAAAAAGTGAAATGAACAAGGAAGTATGTTAATATTGAAATAAATAAAGAAATTATAATTTTTCCAGAAACTTGCTCATAAATTCTTTATAGGTTGCTAAAGCTTCTTTTTGTTGTTCTATGTTCTCTTTATGCCTGCGCTCTCTTGCTTCTTCATTTTTCTCTAATTTTTCTTGAAAATATTTTCATGATTGCAAATTTCGGTTTTTTTTCTTCTTTATTAATGTTGGATTATCAGAATTTATTTCCTCGTCTTCTGTTGTTGATATATCTCTTTTACAAAGATTTGACGCAACAGCTATAGGCATCACACTATGCGATCTTCCATAAATTTTGTCCATTTCGTCGTAGTACTTACATTTCTTCAACGATGCCCCAGACTGGGCATTGTGGTCCTTTGTTTTCATATAAATTTTTTTTTAATTTTTCCATTTATTTTCCACCTGTTTAGCTGTATACATATAACCTTTTCCATTTAGGAATTCAGTAATCTTCTTCCACACGATATCATTTCTCACTTTATCATTTTTAAAAAGGTTTGCGTTTTCTGTCCATAATGAAAAGAGCAACATAATTGTTGAATGTTCCCATACAGCTGTAAATATGGAAAAGTGCATAAGATTAACAAAATAGTTAATATCTCAAAACTAATAAAAATAAAATATATGATATATATAAAATATTAATATATTGATCTTACCATGATCCTTGTCTTCACAAGAAAGAGAAATATCTGTAAACATATTAATATATTAACAAGAACGTTAATGAAAAATTTTATGATTAATATTTAGGATTAATATAAATGAATAATTACATTGTAAAAAAATATATCAAATAGTTATTGTAAAAAGTTTAATTCATTCTTTTATCTCTTAAAAAATTAATAACAAAAAATATACCTTCTTTCGTTTTCTCTTGTATATTCGTAACTTTTATATTTTCCTGAGTATCTGTAACTTTTGGAGATATATTAAAAAATTTATATATTTCTGATAATTTTGGTACAGTAAAGATAGTATTATCTGTACAAGTACAAACATGCAACATATTAGATTATGAATAAATATAATGATACAATAGGTGGACTGGTAACTAACAAATACCATTGTAAATAAGGAATGTGTGTATATGTGTCCTATTGTCACTAAAAAATGTTTTATAATTATACATAATCTAACCTAATCTAACCTCAATATAAGATTAATACTTCTTACTTACCTCTCTTGTCCTATCCATTACATGTACCTATCCATTATTAACAATGAATCATTTTTCTCTACTGGTATTCCATCTTTATCAGTCATTACAATATGTATTCCTTGTATCAAATTAGTCATATTAATTTTTTTTCTGTATAATATATCCAAGAAAACTCAGAAAAAAACTCAGAAGAAAACTCAAAGAAGTCACTAAACACGAACAAACCAAATTCTAAGATCGTTACTTAATTTAAATTTGCGCGGTTTGAACTTACTCTTGTAACCCTCCTCGAAATTAAGGCTCGTCTACATTAGCTGTAAGAGTAAGGCTGTGAGGTTGCAAGACACGAAATGAAATATTTTCATTCGCTGACAGCTTACGTTACAGCCTTACAGCCTTAAGCCCGTATCAGACTACAGATTGGGATTGAGTATTGGATTGAAATTTAACCAATCAGGAGTAAGTTTACTATACTTGAGATTATTTTCTCTTTTTCAATTGGTCGAATTTCAATCTAATCTCAATCCCAATCCATAGTCTGATACGGGCTGTACTCTTACAGCTATTGTAGACGAGCCTTTAGAGTTATAAAAGCTCGTCTACATTAGCTGTAAGAGTAAAGCTAAGACTCCATGCATGCGGTGAGCTCCGGCAAACGGCTGCGGTGACCAATCAGGAGACAGACGCATGCCGGAGCTTGCCGCAACCGGACTTGCGCCTCCCTCCTGATTGGTCACCGCAACATTTGCCGCAGCTCACCGCATGCATGGAGTCTTAGCTTTAGCTTTAGGCTGTAAGATTGCAAGACACGAAATGAAATATTTTCATTCGCTGACAGCTTACGTTACAGCCTTACAGCCTTACTCTTACAGCTATTGTAGACGAGCCTCTAGAGTTAACTCCGGGTATTGTCTACTTGGAATTTTTGAACGATTAGGCTCCGCCCATTTAGTAAATTACACTACATTTTGGAACGACGTTGAGTTAACTCCACTACTCCGAGTAGAGTTTTGGAACGCAGCCCAGCTATCATGCAATATGAGGTGTGCGATAAATTTCGTATGCGATAAAAGCTGTGTTCCGAAAGTCACTGAACATCGATAGTTTATGTCGCGTATTTTCTTGAATACTGGCAGCAAATTTCGGAACTCAACCTAAATCTAAACAACGCAGTTCAACTCTTTACAAAAATTTCTGTGATATATTTTATTTGAAGTGCAAATTTGGTTATAGTTAAAAAAATATTAATAGTCAACATTGATTTAAAATAGCATTGGCGTCAAATGAAGTAAAGAAACGATGTACATATGTTAATGAAGAACAGAAAAGTTTGCTAGTTGGTAAGTATTATTTTCAATATGTAAGTCTAATGAAATTTGCTTTAAACTGTCAGTCAACTCAGCTTAGTTATATTAAACTGAGCTTATTTATATTAAAAATTTGCAACTTGTATTTAAAGACATTTAATGGGTCAACAAATAATGAGTAATAGCTGTTTGACAGACTGATAGTAACTGTTATTTATTAATCTTTCAATAGTCTTTTTAGTGCTGTATAATATATATTTTAATTGCAGAATTTATGCGTAAACATCCGGAACTACATAGTGGAAAGTTTTCTGCAACGTTTACTTTTAAACATGCTCAAAAATTATGGGAAAAAGTAACAGCAGAATTACATGAGATACCTGGTGCACAAAAAGAGTGGAAACAATGGCGAAAGATATGTATTATATTGACAAATACCTAGATTTCTTTGTACAGAAAAAAGATTATATACTTTAAATAATCTGATTGTCTACTTTGTGTCCATGTCATAGACTTGGCAAGACATGCGAAGTTCCATTAAAGCCAAAAATATTTTGATCAAGAATCATGCAAAAGCAACTGGTGGAGGGCCTGCGTCAAGTCAGGTTTTAACAGAAATGGATCAAAATGTCAATCCTGCCAATTATGGGTACAACAGTCATGGGAGGACATAAGACAGTACAAGAATCCAATGTGCAAATTGTAAGCATCTTTGTTGTATTGTATTATAATATCAGAAATATATTAAGAAATTATAATATTAAATATTAGCAGAAAGTATGCGTGTACATTGATATTTTTTGCAGGAATGGATAGATGATTCAATTGTATGTGAAATCAATGATGATGAAAATAGGGACAATTTTCCCATAAAATACAAAAGTCAAGAGATAACGCAGCAATCTGTGTCACAACAATCATTATCTTCTCAAGATTATTACAGTATATTGGAAGAAAACTCACCAGAAGAAAACTTAAACAATGATAATGGCAATAACAATAGGAAATCTTTAAAAAAAATGGAAACAACTGCACTATAAACACCAATTAGTGTAGTCAACAACATATCAGATATTTCTGTAACACCAGCTTCAAAATCGAGTGGCATACAAAGAGGTGTTAAAAGAATTTCTGCTGCACAAAGATATGATAAATCAATTGAACAAACTGAAAAGTTAGCGAAAATTTCGCAGGAAGATAGCGAGATACGAAAATCGTATTACAAAATCGTATTACACAAAAATTAAAACTTTATAAGAAGAAAATAGCTCTGAAAGAAAAAGATATCGAAGAAAATATATGCACATTGCTGGAGCAATTAGTAAAAAAAACAATGAAAGAGTTACAGATATAAGATATAGGCTGTGAAAATGATATTAGTCTATTCACAAAGAAATAAATATTCCTATAAGCTGTTGATGTGTACAAATTGTTACATAAGTTAAAAAACTAAGATAAGAAATTTATTTTATGTTCATTTTGTGTATTTGCTATTATAAAGGAAAAACTTAAAGATAAGACATTTATTTTATGTTCATTTTATATGTTTGTTATAAAGAATATTGCCAAAAGAAATAAAGCAAATGTTTACAAAAATATTTATTGCCAAAACGTTACAATAATAAAATACAAATATGTGTATATATAATACATGTGTAAAAAGTATGTGTAAAATATTGTCAGGGGAAATACTGTCTTATTAGATTATTGCGAATTCTTCGTCCAGCTATCAGTTCGTTATTTCTATTTAACATATCTATCCCGGGTTCGTTTACACCATCTATAACATTCATACCAAAATCCAATATTTCATGATCTGCTTCGGGTAAAGGCACGTTGTCGTGAATGCACATATTATGTAACACGGTACAAGCATTGATAATTTTCGAGCATACATCTGGTCGATAATGTAAAATTCTATGTTTCAACAAGCAACGAAATCTTATCTTCAAGACACCATTGCAATGTTCAATAAGTGATCTAGTGCTCTTTTGCCAATCATGGTATCTTCTTGTTCCAATATTAGGATTATTGTCCATTATTGGAGTTATCATCCAAGGTCTAAGAGCATAACCAGAATCACCTGTAAAGCAATATAATGTTATATATTGTAACTAAAAACAATATTGAATAATCACTTTGACGATTATATATTACCTAATAAAAAAAAGCTGTGTCCACGATTGTAAATATCTTGCATAATAGGAAGAACATTACTATTATTCCAGATATACGAATCGTGAGTACTTCCAGGATATCTGGCATTAACATTCATTATCCTAAGATCAGAATCACATATCTGCAAAGAAAGCTATATTTGTATTATTTGTATAATAATATATCTAATTGAATTGTGTTAATGCACAATCTTACCAATTGTACATTAATAGAATGATATCCTTTTCTATTTATGTATATATGTTCAGGATAATTCTAATCTTCTTTAGGAGGTGAAACAATTGCAACATGAGTGCAGTCTATACAACCAATCGCTCCAAGAAAACGATGATTAATCCAAAATCTATATATATGTACACTGTCCGTCATTAATTTGTTTCGTTCCCCTAGCAAGTTTCTATAGAATGTGTTACACATCCTATATATATTCATTAAAGGAACAGAATAAATTAATGACGGGTACTGTGCATATAACATAATCTATATATAGTATAATAATCTATCATATAATATAAATAATATACATAAATAAATACGTATGATTATATTATATATATATATATAAATATATACAATGGGTGCTTTCCATTTAGCGACACAAATCAACACAAGTATCATTCTATCTTTTTTCTCATAAAATATAGAACAAAGATAAAATGATGCTTGAGTTAACTTGTGTCACTAAATGGAAAGTACCCAATGTCATAAGCCCGCATTCTGAGCTCTCTTTTTTATCGCTAAAAATGCCTCTAAAAGTGGCTTATAGCCAATCACAAGGGTTATATGCATTTTTAGAGGCGCTTTTATCAATAAAAGAGAGCTCAGAATACAGGTCATAAAGATCAGACAGACCATAATTATATACACATTATCCTATTTAATTTTTCTGAATATATACTAACTTGTTACGTAGTTGTTGCAGCTTCTGAAAGGTGTTAGGAAAACACACCCAATCGTTGAATATTTCTGGTAAATTAAGAATGTTAGTCACATTTCGAACACATCTGCTAACCGAAGGTTGACTAATAGCCATGTGAATATTTTTTCTTATGCAATTCTGATAGCTGCCTGATCCATAAAAGTGTAATGCAACTAAAACCTACAATAATTTTATTAAATAATTATATCAAATAATTTATATTCTGCATGTGTTGTACGAACTTGTACAGTCGCGTCCAAAGCTGAACATTGTGATAGTTCTACAAAATTGTCTTCCACAATATTAATAAGTCTGTTTGCTGTTTCTTTTTTCAATCGAAAAAGATTTATGAACTGTCGTTCTGATAATTCAAATGGATCACCCCTTATATGAAAACGCGGTTTTTCATTATAATCGAAAATATTTTCCAATTGTTCAGCGATATGGTTGCACAGCATTTTGATATGCCATATTCATTGCAAAACAATTAATTTAATTCACCTCACTCATATTGTATAACCTCATTTTTGTCGAAAACAGCGCTTTTATTACTAGATTTATCGTATGCGACTTGCATATCGCATGGGTTATACCACTCGATATGAATCTTCGATATTTTCTCGCATGCGATGCATCTCATTCATTCAAGAATATCATTTCTGCTATCGTATGCGATATCGCATGCGATATCTAGGGTCCTCGTTTCAGGAATAGACCCCCAGAATCAGCCGGAAGTCAGTAGTTCCCTAGGACCTACTTTTGTGAAAAAGGTAGTATCTACTACCAGAGAGAAACCTTAGAGCGGGCACGGCTGCATTTACAGCGTTATGGAAAAGTTGGCTGATTCGAAGCGCCAACTGGGCCCATTTTTCATGGACATGAACTACTAAGCCAATGTCCACAATTTGTTGGTACTATTCCGTGCTATGTCCATAATTATTTGGTTCTGTTCTGTGCTATGTTCACGAGCGAGCTAGATTAGTTAGATAAAAACGGGGAATCGGTCTTTGTCTCACCACCAGCGTATAGACAATCGCGACGATAAACTGAAGCGAGCCAGGCGCGATTCTTTAACTCGTTATATTTGTAACAACATGAAACCGTATGATAACATACCGACTTTTGTCGTATGTAACGTGAGACCTATATCGAGTATGCGATTCACTAAGTCATAATAACGATACTTCGACGTTACAAAATGCGGTAACGAAATGTCGTTATTTAACGTTGTTACTGTGCATTTCAGCCAATAGGAATGTCTCATATAGATGTCTCATTTACGAACTTATTTCGTGCTATAACCTTACAAAGCGAAAAGTGTGTGTATGTATATTGAAATTTGTTTTTATCATGTATATTTTTTATGCATGTTGTTTCGTGTATATCGGAATTTGTCACAAAACTAAATTGCGATATAGTGTTCAACTCGCAATGGCATCTGTATCAGAGTAAGTATGCATGATTGTAATAAAAGAGTTCAATAAAATTTATCTCGTTTTTATAAGAGAATATGTTGGTTTATTTCTAGTTGTAAATGGTACGTATCTACCAATATTCCAAATATGTTTTTTTGTTGTTTGACAGAAAGGTAGAGAAAGCAGGAGTGAAAAAAGCAGGCAAAAGCAACATCAGCACAAGTTGATTACATGATCGATTATTTCATCCAGCATCCGCATGTTGCAACAGGAAAATTTAAAACTCTGCATGGAAATGCAGAGTTGAGAGGTTCGTGGGAACAATTAGTGGAACAATTAAACAAATTGGCAAAAGACGGAAAAAACAAGGATATAAAATTTTGGAAAGGGGTGAGTAAAATATTTTATTTAAAAAATTGTGTGTAAATCTATCTAATATTTACAGAATAATTGTTTAAAAATTTCTATTAGACGTGGAGAGACAATAAAACCACTGTTTCTCAGAAAGTAGCAAAAATGCGAGCCAATAAAGCTGCAACAGGTAATATTGGTGGGCCTACTCCGAAATTAACTGAAAGAGAACAGAAAATTTTAGGAATTATGGGATTTGATTACATTGAAGGAGTACAATGTCCAGATGCTTTCCCAGAAGAACAGGCAAGAAAATTCAATTCATACATTACATTATATGCATAATACATCATTATGATATCATTATGACTTCTATATTCTACTTAGGTACAACAACAAAAATAACATCTATTTCAGCCAGAAGCAATGGAATTGCTAAGTCAAGGGCAGGAAGAAATCTTAGAGGCTGTTTCCGTCCCATTTACAATACGATATACCACAAATGAAAATAATATGATCAGTTTTACAGGTTAATATATTTTACTTACATACTGCTTATTTATCATCATAAATTATGATATGAAAATGTATTAATCCTGAATTATGATATAAAGATGTATAATATTGCTGTGGAAACGAAACTAATTACAGCATAACCTACATATGTTTTGTTCATATTATAATATGATATCAAATTTAGAGAGAGAAGAAAGGGAGATAACTATGCTTGAAACATCTTCGCAAATAGTGCATTTAGATCAAAGAGCATTAAGAGAATCAAGAGAATCACCGATGTTCAACCATGAGCAATTACAGACAGAAGATATACAGGAAGAAACGCAGGTAACAGAGTTACATGCATCAAGTTCACAGACTGCAAACAGAGTAGAGAAATCTACTACAGCAAGAAGCGGGGTAAGCATTGTTGCAGATATCCATTTTCTTATAACAATGTACAAGAACAAAGACATTCCGTGTATACAAACTTACTTTCATTTTTAAGGCCATAAAAGCAAGATTATGCAGTTGCAAAATACAAGAGATGAGTTTATCTTATTAGCCGAACGCCAAATTGCGTGTATAGAGGTAAGATCTATATTGTACTTCTCTCGAAATATAAAGTTTTATAGGTGTTTCTGTAAGCTAAATATTTTCGTTATTTTTGTATGCTAAATATTTTCAAGGAATTATTTTCTTTCTCTGTGTATAGATATTTGCTAAAGCAATGGATAAAATGGCTGAAAATGATAGACAACGGAATGTAATATTACTTTTTTGACTGAATTTTGACTGAAAATGAAAAGGCTCGAGAACAAACTTACTTAGATTTGACTGTGATTATTAAAGACTTCCGTCATTGGAAATTTAATCCATCTACGTAGTAAGCGTAAATTTATTGCATCAGTCACAGCGTGAATGCAACGGTTTGTTGTTGGTTGGCTAACATTAAACTGAAATAGATTACCAACACTTCTTTGGAAGCTACCTTGAGTATAAAATTGTATGGCAATTAACACTTGTAATAAGTGTTTCATTTTAATAAACTTTTAATGTTTTGAGAAGATATTAAATTTCAATAAATGTACATCTTCAATATTTTGCTTTTTAATATGTTTTTCAATAGACATTTTTGAATTTTATTTTACGTATGCATATGAAATATATATATGGGGCGTTCTCTGTCAAAGCGGCCACTCCTGTGCCTATTTCAATTTTTGAGATAAAATGCTCTAAAAGCGCTTAAAATTTTCGTTATCTATTTTTCGATGCCGTATGGTATGTTTGAAAATTTTAAGCGCTTTGAGAGCATTTTATCTCAAAAATTGAAATGGGCAAGGCGGTGGCCTTTTTGACAAAGAACGTCTCATATATATATATATATATATATTTATGTTACCTTTATTTCTGGTTGTAAACCAGTAGTCCGTTCGCTCCATAAGTCAGCCCGTATCACATCAATTACATACATTGCAACTTCTGGAGTAAGACGAAAACAGTTTATAAACTCTTCTCGTGGAAGAGCAAAAGGATCTTGCGCGTCTCTTAACTGTCTTCTCTCTAAACGCCGTTCTAATCGACGTATCCTTTCTAGGAGCAATGGTAATTCCCATATTAAATATTCAATGGCCATTTCTGCTGAAAGTTATATACATATACTTTATTTAAGGTTATACATGTATTAGAATATCAACTATTCCACAGAAAATAATATAATAATCCCATTCTGAAATATATGCTCTTCTTATATATTTAGTTGATAGAAATTTGATTAGTTTAATTGATATAAATAATAGTAAATATTTAACATATGTACAAAATAACTCTTAAATCACATGCTAAGTGATATTAACACATATTGTAATAAAACGTAGGCATTGAAGTACATGTTTCTACTTATTGAATAATTTAGAGAAAAATCACAAGTAGTAGTTAAAACATTGACAAATTTCAAGAACAAGAATTTGATTGTAATATTGGCGGATGTGTCCACTTTTTTGACAGGACATACATATATACTAGGTTATATAATATTTAGACATGGAAACATTTTAATTCTGTGAAACAAAATATTAAAAATTATTACTTACATATATTATTCACCGATTGCATCCAATAGAAAAAATATCGTTTATGCTACTTGATGTTTCACGTACACAAGTGTTTTGATGCACATTTACAAGGGCTGTATTTCGATATTTACGGCTGTACTACTGCACTAGGCATAAGTAGAGTGAGATAAATATCGGTTTCCGCGTTTCTTTGCGGTTTCGCAGACTCTCGTTATGCCATATCGAGGGGTAGTGGACCTCACGTTATGATAGTGACACATAACAACAAGTTATCGATGCTTTTTGGTATTAATAACGATGAAATTTGTTGACAGTTTCTTATAGAATCGCATTTATCGTTACAGCGACATCTCGTTATAAAACAAACCAAAAACAGTCGTTATTAACACATAACGACTGCATAACGAGTTAAAGAATCGCGCCACAGCAGCGATGTTATCGTAAGGCAGACGTCGCCGTCCCCCCTTTCGCCCCCTTGTTTTCCTTTCCATATTGTTTTATATTCATAATTCGGGAAAAAAATAATTTCGGACGATTTCTAGCAATGACGCGACAGAGATAACGCGCGGCCACATTAATTTGTCATGACTTTTATATTACTTATAATTGCATAAACGCCCATATATGCAAATTATAGATAATTATTGCGCGTATGTTTTAATATTGTACAATATGGCATATAATAACAACAACTTCATTTCTTGCAATATTTTTTTAAGATCTTCGTTGAGGTCGTGAATTAATTATTTTCTTCATCAATCAGTTTCCTGCAAAAAATTAGATTTTTTAAATAAAATATAAGATGTTTCTCTTCTCTTATCTCCGAAGAGTTAATTAAAAAATATGTACTCCACAGAGTCAACTAACAAATGTGTAGTCAGAAGAGTCAATTTAAAAGTGTACTCCGAAAAGTCAATTTAATAGCGTATTCCGAAGAGTCAATTTTAAAGCGTACTCTGAAAAATCAAATTAATATTGTAATCCGAAAAGTCAATTTATAATAGAATATTTACTTCGATGATTCAGCTAAAGAAAAAAACATTTATTTATTATTATATTCAGAAAATAATATTTAATTTATTATTTATACTTATCTTACTTATGCTTACCCTACATATGCTTCTTTGAATGAAAAATTTAATTTGCTGACTGATTCAGATTCAGATTTGTTAAAATATCTCTTATGCGCAACTCTTGAACAGGTAGGTAGTAAAATAATTTTTTTTCTTTACGAATTTTATAAACTTTTCACGAACATAAAAATTGAAAGATTCTCAGAGGACAAATAACTTTTCTTGAACATTTAAACCAAAAGAAAATCTTTTCCCATTAATAAAGAATGAATAATCAATATCTCACACGAGAGGAATCTTCATCCTTGAAATAAGCGCGTGATTTTGCTTTTAGAAAAGTATAATATTGATGTAATAGTAACAAATGCTATCCAAAAACGGTGTAAATCTTAAACGTTTTTGAGAAATGCAGTTTGAAGTTTAGTCTTTTCTGTTAATGTCGTTATAGCAGAAGAATTACCAATTTGCTTCAGTAGCGCAATGGATCAGGCTTTGTGATATGAGCGTAGAGGTTGTTCAAGTGTGTTATTTTTAGTATCACAGGGAGAACTATGTAGAATGTATAATAATACGCAGACAAATTCTTTACATAATCATACTTATTTCTTTTAACATGAATAAAAATGATCAATGCTAACGTGATAAGTGTATATCGCAATTGTACGTGTACGCAATTGTACACATACACACACATATACACACGTATACCAATGATGTCAAAACCGAACAATTCGTGAAAATTTTTTATTGATCGCAATTGTACGCAAAGACGAAAGAGAAGTACATACACGCGTCTCCGCGGGTATCTCGTCATATTAATTGTCTGTGAGCTGATAAACAATTGATCTCCGGTATTTACAAGTTACGCTTGTCCGCAGTTTGTTCGGTTTTGACATCATTGGTATCAGTGATGCGAATTTGGTGATGGGCTTGCACGAGGATTCTCCTCCCCCCCATACACGCACATAGTCAGCTCGGTCAATCCGTGTGAGCCACGCGATCGTCAATCGTCGACGCGCCGTGCGAGCGAGAAAGAGAGAGAGAGAGAGAATATCATTCCCTCCTTGTCGCTCTCGAGCCCTCGTTCTCGCTCAGCGAGCGAGCCTAATTCTTTTTTACCCATAATCTGAATCGCGGGCGCAACTGTCTCTCTCTCTCTTTTCCTCTCTATGACAATATTGAAAGGTTTTGTCTACTCGGCGCGCCGAAATTATTACAAATAATATTTTATTATTAATAATATTATTATTTGTAATATATATTATTTGTAATATTATTATTTGTAATTTTACTTGTAATTGTATAATAATGTTATAAATAATACAAATTTTTACTAATTTTATTTGTAAAAATTTATATCATTTGTAATATTATTTGTAATAGTATTGATAATATTCGGCGCCAAAAAAATGAAATATATTTTATTAATTATTTTGCGGAGTCGGGCAGGTCCACAGGTTTGATTATTGAATTGTTTAATAATATTTTAAGAATAATTTTAAGTTATACAAGGATGTAGTATGAAATATAAAAGAATATTGTAACAGAATCAAAAAGTACGAAATGAAACCTCTTTGCTTTTATTACAATATCCTGTAAGTTAATAAATATTTTTCATACAGTATTAAATAATCTCCAAAAACAATTACATCCGTGAAATTTTCTATCTGCGCGAAAAAAAAATTCATAAAATATATTTGTTTCGTCGCTCTAAATGAGAAAACTCTCAGAACAATATTATAGTTGTTCAGTGCACTACTCAATAAAAATATAATAATACTATGTTTGTATGTGTGAAGAATATTTGCTAACTTACAGGATATTGTAATGAAAGCAAGGAGGTTTTATCTCGTACTTCTAAGGCCAAGACTTATTAACGGCTAAAGACATATTCGAATTGATCTTGCCATAATTGGTCGGATCAGTGATCGTCTTGCCTTAACTGCCAAGCCTCATAACTCGGAAAGTACTCGATGAAATGTAACTTTGTTAGAGTGTTTTGGAATGCTCTCGAGATAAGCTACAAGAATGTGTAATAAAAAATCGTAGTTTCTATTTAAAAAAACATTAATGACTTTGGTCTGATTTTGACAAGGTCACTTCACTCAAGGTCAAGTCCACATTTCCGTTATGTGTCGTCCTTCAAGCCATGCAACTTTCGTTCGAAAAATTTTTTAATAAAATCATCGATAATGGACCATATCACTTTAGTTAGAAAAGTCTGGAAATGGTCAAATACCTCGAAAACGAAACATTTTTAAGAAAAACGTTTGCAACTAAAGTTGTAGGGTTTTAAAAGTTCTATTGAATGATCATGTTCGGTTGACCTTGAGTGGAGGAGTCAAGGCGAGGTCAATGCCAACATGATTTTTTTAAATGGAATATCCCATTTTTATCACACAGTGTTAAAGATGACAGCGAGACATTCCCGAAATACTATTTGATGACCTATTTTTCCCAACAACTAAAGTATCAGTAGCAGGACAGTTGTATAAAGTAGTGAATGTCATATTTCATCATGGATCGTGCATTGCAAGCGGTCATAACACAAATATATGTAGAGAAGGTAAATCTGATTGGATTGAAGCTGATGATAAGCAAATAAAAAACACTGGCCCAGCTACAAAAGTTTGTATTCTTTTCATGGAAAAAATTTAACACGTTTAACGTTTATTAATAGTATCCAATATTTCAAAAAAATGTCTTTTTAGAAGTTATTATTATTCAAGAAAAACCTAACGACAGAAAATGTACGTAACATAAGTTTTTACAATTGTAAAATTTATTATAAAACTTACCTTTTTAAACAAAAAGGTAAAAAAAGGCGCCAAGTACAAGCGCAACATGTATTGTGTTATTTTTAGAAATTTCAAATTCAAATTTTTTTTTAAAGTTATATATATGTACATAACAGGTTTTTACAAGTAAAACTTAAAGATAATACATACGATTTTACAAGTAAAACTTAAAGATAATACATACGATTTTACAAGTAAAACTTATATAAAACTTACCTTTTTAAACATAAAGGTAAAAAAAGACGCCAAGTACAAGCGCAACACATATTGTGTTATTTTTAGAAGTATCAAACTCAAATTATTTTTTTTAATGTATATATGTGTACATAAGTTTTTACAAGTAAAACTTATAACTATAATAAAACTCTGCAACACTATTCTACTGTACAAAAGAAGTGATATATTAGAATAGTAGCGCCAACTGAGAAACCTAACATATATATATGATTATTATATACTTAACTTAATATTTTTAGAAATCTCAAATTCAAATTATCTTCTTTTTTAAGATATATATTATGCAATATATATACATAAATTTTTAAAAGTAAAAATTATATCGTGTTATAAAAATTTTACACATTTGTTTTAGTAGTGTCCAATATTCAAAAAAATATATTTTTAAAGGTTATGTTATTCAAAATATTCAAGAAAACCTAGCTTACAAGTAAAATTTATCATTCTTTATTAGAACACTGAGTTATATGGTTATTTTACTTGTTATTGTAACAAATTAATTATAACAATGCGATAAAAAATATTTAATACAAAAAATCTTGGCGCGGCTGCACCAAAAACTATCGAACTAAACTATAATATATCGAACTAAAACTTGATTAATACATACATGACAGCATTTTTATTATAATAAAATGTTCTTGTAAATTCTCTTTATACATATACGGTATAATGTTCTATTTAAGTTTATATAGTATTATAATAAATAAATTATAAACCTTCATTATAGAATATATTATAATAAAAATGCTGTCATGTATTAAACAAGTTTTAGTTCGATATAGCTTTTGGTACAGCCGCGCCAAGATTTTATGTATTAAATACTTTTTATGCATTGTTATAATAATTAATTTGTTACAATAACAAGTAAAATAACCATATAACTCAGTGTTCTAATAAATAATAAATAAATTTTAATAGATAAATTTTACTTGTAAAAATTTGTTATTTTATTAAGAACTTTTTCGAACGAAAGTTGCATGGCTCGAAGGACGACACATAACGGAAATGTGGACTTGACCTTGAGTGAAGTGACCTTGTCAAAATCAGGCCAAAGTCATTAATGTTTTTTTAAATAGAAACTACGATTTTTTATTACATATTCTTGTAGCTTATCTCGAGAGCATTCCAAAACACTCTAACAAAGTTACATTTCATCGAGTACTTTCCGAGTTATGAGGCTTGGCAGTTAAGGCAAGACGATCACTGATCCGACCAATTACGGCAAGATCAATTCGAATATATCTTTAGCCGTTAATAAGTCTTGGCCTTAGAAGTATGAGATAAAACCTCCTTGCTTTATTACAATATCCTGTAAATT